CTGTGCTAGCAGTTATGGGGGATTCTCTGCAATATCTCTGTTCCACAAGCTGCATTGGTCATCAGTGGATTTCTAAGTGAAATTCAAGATGACTGGTTGTCATCTATAAAGCTCTTTGTGGCTCAATTGGCTACTTATAGGGCCACCTTTCTCCAATATTCTCTCCCATCCTGAAAGATCTGACAAGGTAGGTATGATCCAGGTCCCATTAAATTAACGGTGCCATATTGTAGGAAACCACAGTCTTGCATCCTCGGTTGCTGTCGCTGCTCTCTGCATTATCATTTCTGTAGAGATTTCTGATATTTTGTGATATTTGATTTTTTTGTATACTTCCTTGAGTTTTTGATTTGGTGGCCTATAAGTTCAATAATATAAAATAATACATCATGACCAGAACAAGTGACTTGAATCAGTCTGTTTTATGGCTGGCAATAATTTCTCAGAATTTACCCAGCCCTTGTTGGAAATGCCAAGATTCCAAGCTAGTGCTCTTCTATGCTGGCAACCATTTAAATAAGCTAGAGATGGGCATTACACTTAATTATGGGGTTGAGTATTTACTGGACTAAAAAATTCATGAAGACCCCATTGTTGCTGTTAGGAAGGAGATGATCCATACAAGAGTTAATAAAAGGACTAAGAAAAAGTGTGACTCTTTCGTCTGCTGATAGATGTTTATTGGTTCATCTCCATTCTCTTTACCTGCAAGCCCTCAATGGATTCTGCTATATCAGCGGTTCTCAACCTGTGGGTCGGGACCCCATTTGGGGTCGAATGACCATTTCACGGGGGTCGCCAAACAACGCAGTCCACCATTTTTTCCCCTTTTCCTTACTGTGCTACTCCCTTTTATTCTATTGGCTTTTGAAAGCCAATAGAATAGACTCTCTTGAATAGAGTCTAATTCTATTGGCTTTCAAAAGCCAATAGGAATTGTCCAGGCTGTCTTTGCCCTGCTGAGCCCGCCAAAAGTCCCATTCTGCAAACGGTGCTGCAAGTTGTCTGCAGTGAAGGTGAGCTGTCTGGAAGTTTCCACCCCTCCCTGCTGAGCAACTACTAAAAATGTAAGTAAAAGAGGGCCAGGGGTGGGAGGTGGGAGGCCGGCGGGCGCAGGGAGGGATGCTGGCACACATGGGGCCCGGCAGGTGCCTTACCTCCCTTGGGCTGGGCCAGCTGGTGGCCCAGCCAGTGGTCGGCCTGCTCCGTCTCTGCCCCTTGCCAGCTACACCTCGGCTGGCACAGGGGGCGGGACCACGCATGCACAGCACTCCCGGGCAGGGAAAGTCCTCGACTTATGATTGGTTGGGTAGTCCTCGACTTACGACCGGTTGGGTAGTCCTTGACTTACGACCGGTTGGGGGTCGCGGCATTAAAAAGGTTGAGAACCACTGTGCTATATAGTAGACAGTCAATGGTGACCAAAGAAGTCTAAGACGTGTCAAGAAATGCTGTTCTAGCAATGCTTTACTTGTATGGACACCATATTGTTTCTCTTTCTGGAACTGTACTTGAAGTCTACAAATCTTTTAACAATGTCTTTTCAATAGTGTATATAATTATTTGCAGCTTTGTGTGAATGCAATAATGTTCTGGGATAATTCCTAATCAAATGAGCTGAGGTGGCGCAGCAGTTAGAGTGCAGGACTGCAGACCACTTTAGCTGACTGTGTTTAGCAGGTCAGCGGTTCAAATCTCACCGGCTCAAGGTTGACTCAGCCTTCCATCCTTCTGAGGTAGGTAAAATGAGGACCCAGATTGTTGGGGGCAATGTAAATATATATATACATTGCTTACTGGTGTACACCGCTTAGAGAGTGCTTGCACTTAAAGCGGTATATAAGTCTCATAAATAAAATAAATAAAATAAATGCAACATGCAGATTGCATTTCTCTCTCCATTGGTGCATTATTGGATGGAGTATTGAATCTGGTAAAATTTGGAGGGCATTTAGTATTCCTATGTGGTTTTTTAAAAAAAAGAATAGCAGGGAAATTCTGCTTTAATTTTCCTGTTGCCCAGCTGTGATAGTGGCTAATTTTTGTAGAGCTCTGTAACATCCTTCAAAAATTTGATTTTACCATGCTTTATCGTTCTAGTGAGGCAACATCATAACAACAGAAGCAAAATTATGTGTATTCTATAGCCAGGTACTGCTATAATTGTTGAGTGTTGAAATCTTGGAACGAAAGTCTGTCAAAATATTATGGTCAGGCAAACCAAATGAAAGCTTAATTTTTTTATTAGGGACATTCAAAAATATTATGTTAAGGAAATGAAATGCTTATATCCAGTTTTATAATGAATTCCATTTGTTCTGTACAATTGTTCAGATTGCCATAAAGCACATACTTCAACCCATTTGATCTGTAGTGCGAGCCTAAGGCATTGTAAAACCTAATTTCATCTCCAGTACTTCAGCTGATCTCACTTCCTAGAATCAAAGAGTAGCTGAAATGGAACAGGAGTGGAAAGACAGCTCTATAATGAGCAAACAAAAGAAAACTACACTGCACACATACACACATACCTCTCACTTTTGTTCATTTCTTAGAGGTGGTTTGGGAAACCTTGGAGAGGGGAAGCAACTATATTAAGAAAGTTTGCAAAAATAAAAAACAAGGCCTCTCTCTATCTAAAAATCTGAGTTGGACTTTTTACAGATTGCCAGTGATGCTTTTCTGCAGGTGTCATGCTATGGTCAGGCATGTGTTTTGTAGCAGATTCAGGATATTCCCTGAATGTGGTAGAATTCATTAATGATGAGAAAAACATATACTTTTTTAGGCAAAAAAAATGTATGTACGTAGTGTGTGGTGTATTGCTGATTAAATATGCAAAGATGGGTACTTTTAGGTTTTTTTACCCCAAGTTTATAGAAAGTGGGAAAATATCAAGAACTAGGTCTTGGCTTCATCTGAAACCATGGGGTACATTGAGTGAACATACTTCACTACTACTCACACAGTAGCACTTCCCTTTCCTTTTTTCCATTGTGCACCTATTGGATCTATTTTTCGATCTGACTCAGATTTGGTTTCATGTGTAAATGCAAGACTGAACATACTTCCTACTGATCGGGATGGATGTACTTGGTTTTAATCTTTTATTTTGCTTTTTTTTTTTTACTAGGAAAAGGATTTAAATCATACCTATTGATTTTGGAGTTAGAAAGTCTATCATAATTGTTTTTGGTCTAGTATCGAAACTTTGCATGTTCAGTACTCGAGAGATTTGTACAAAGATTTGATAGCTGTTGGGGGCATTATAAAATCTACATTACATCTTTGAATGCCATAAAGGTAAAAGCAATTGCATTAGAAGCTGTCTGCGATAAAAAGAAAATGAAATAAGGTATGGTAAGTAGGATTAAATGTAATGTAGCTTTGAAAATACATGGGTCTCAGTTGAGTTTCCATGAACCGCTGTTTCCCCCTAGTGGCTGCAAATGAGAAATATTATAGTTTAAATCAGAGATAGTACGGTATTGAAAACTAAGGCAGACACCCCCCCCCATCCCCAATGAAATGCTGTAAGGGCAGAATGCATTTAGGCACTTATACAGTCATTATTTTGCTACCTATTAGTGCCAATGCAGTTCAGAGATTGTCAGCTCTCCATTTATAAAACACAGTTTTCAGAAGGCTTGAACTTGGTTATTAAAAATCATACTGTGGTTGAAACCTGGCAGCTTAATAGCACTTTCAGGGAAAACCATGTGGTGTACACTGCAGATTTTCATTACCAATAATGCACAAGACCTGGCAGAATCTTGACAGGCTTTACATATGCAACTGGATCCCAAACTGCCTCTTGGTCAAGTGAATAGCAATCAAGCTTTTCTGTCAAACAGGATTTGCAAATTTCTGAAAAAACATATACATATATATATTTCTGTGTGGATGCCACTTCCGGAAGTCCATTCTGGGCCTGGGCAACAAAAAATTAGCTACCACTTCTATTGAAGTGGTGCAAACTGGCAGAATCCTACCACTGAACTGAATGCATCAGGAAATCTTGTTAGAACATCTGTAGCTTATCTATCTGGTTACCCCATTCATGAATGTATTCCTTTTTTTAAAAAAAAAATTAAATCAAGGTTCATTTCCTATTATCAGTTTCTAAAATGAAATCATAGAGAACTGAACAGGAATCCAAGAGATGTGAATTAAGCTGATTTAAGATAATGTAATTGAAAGAATATTGATTTCCACAGTGCCCTAGATAAGAAATTCATTTCCTTATTCTTGTTAAATGGGCAGTAAATAGAATTACTATTCCAGAATAGGAATATGTTAGTAGTTAAGAAACTGAATGTCAGCTCTTTCTTGTATCAATAATTCATATAAACAGTTTCCCTGTTTGCACTTAGTATCTTGCTGTGTATATGTTTTTGTGTATATTTTCGTGTGTATTTTTGATATGTTATGTATGATCGCATATAATAAAAAAGAAACAATATTCCATGCTATATTATATTATACTTCATTGTCATATAGGCCATTTCCTTAAAAAATAATTTTGAAGATTTATATGTACTTAGTTTCTTCATTATAAGATTTATATCGTGTATGACTTCATACAGTTTATCTATAGCTTATTTTCTTTACTAAGTTCAACTGGCCTTTGGATCACTATGAACCAACTATTGTGGAATCATACAGCTGGTAATAGCGCAAGCCATTTAAACAATAAAAAGTTGGAAAAGAACAATCCAAATCTATAGAACAGTACTAAAAAGGAATACAAAGAAATAACTTTTATATAAATTGAAATTAAATTCACAGAGCAGGAGTAATGAATTGAAAGCCAGCAAAGGGGGGGGAGCAGATTAACAGTGCACATACATACATATGTACAGTGTTTGAGAAGTTTTTAAAAGAACTGTTTGCCAAAGGGGAGGATATTTTAGCTTCCCAAGAATTACTGCCAATCAGAAACATATTAGTTAAAAAAACAAGTGAACCTTCTCATAAGGAAATGGACCTTTCTCTTTCAGATGGGCAATTAAACATGAAGGAACAAGTAAGCCTGGTCAATGGAAACAATCAAAAGTGGAGAATCCTTTATGGAATAAGTTGACCTATATGTGGCCTGTACTTCCAAATGGAGAATTAAACCAGGTAATTTCTTTGGGGGGGGGGTGGAATAGACAAATAGACAAATGTGCATGTATATGTGAACTTTATATATTTATTGGAGATATTTAAAATAAGTATAATAATAATAATAATAATAATAATAATAACAGCATAATAAAAGTAGATGCATAATTCTTGAAATCACAGAAGGCTTCAATAGAGAAGCTCCATAGAAATCTTCTACCCAGGGGAGCCATTTGACAATAGAATGCAGACTTCAGGTCACATTAAAAACCTCTACAAGGGTCCCATAAGTTTTGAAATGGTTTGCAATGCAATCTAAGGAATTGTTCCATATGGTTAATATAAACTGCTGTCCATCAACATACAGCAATGGCCATTCATTTGTCTTTGATTATTATTACCTTTCTTAAAACCTTATCCTATCCTTCACTGCTGATGGTGAAGAATTCTTCAAGCTATTGGATGTGTACAAAGCAATAATTTATAGTGTATCCGTTTTGTAATTTTCTTATCTTTCTGCTGCATTCTGGAAAATCTATTTCAGGTTATTTTTTTGCTTTGAATTTGTTGCATGTGTAAGTGCTCTTAAAAATAAAGCTGGCCGTCAACATGAAACTAATACTCTGAAATATTATTTCTTTCATCCATGTCTATATTATTGAATTTTTGCCAAAGTAAAGAGCACGTCACAGAGAAGAATCGTGTTCATTGCAATTATCATTGGGAGCTTGCTTTATAAGAAAAAGGGATCCTGAACAATGGGAAAGGACAGATTTTTATAGGAGCTGAGGGTTACAAGGTGGGAAATCCTAGGCATCTGACTGGCTGGCTAGTTTGAGGAAGTTAGCAGGTCAAAGTACCAGGGGCAAGTTCTATTGTCAGGCAAAGTGGGCCTTTTATGAAAACAGTAGAGTCATCAACTGATATGGAAGATGGAAGGTTGGGGATTCTCTAGGTTCCAACTCTCTCCTTAGGGCTGCTTTTTGGGTATACTGTGAGCTGATGGGGAGGCTTCTATTCTTTGGTCAAATGGGCTTCCAGAGAAGTTTTGTCTGGGGCAGGGAGGGTCAATTGGGATCTAATGAGATTAGGTAAAGAGAGGAATTAGGTTTGATCTTTGCTTGATAAACAATCAAATCAACAAATATTTTAGAGTCAAATTTATTTCTTTGACATCAATATGCATGAAGTATAAATGAAGTTATTATATACCCATTTAGATTTTTGTACTCACACACAGCAAACTAGATGACACCAATTCATATTTTATGACACAGAATTCAACTGTTTCATTCATAGTTAAACCTATACCTTCATTCCCCTGAATGTTTTCATCATCTCCACTCCACAATACCAGACTATCTTTATTCATATCTATTATATTCTCCCTTATTGTCTTAATTTCACAGACATACAGTTCTATTTTCCTTTTCCATTAGTTAATTCTGGCTCTTTACCATTTACACCTTTTACGTTCCAAGTCAAAATCTTTCATATGTTATGATCATCACTAGAAGGGCCCATAGGTATTGACCCCCATCACAGCCATCACTTTGTTCAATCAGAATTTGATATACTGTTCTACAGTAATGTATTGATTTGTCATTCTTAGTTATACCTGTGCTACGTACAGGATTCCCTACTACTGTAATATTAAGAGAAACTTTGATCAATGTTGGCATATTTAGCCAGCGTGTCATGCACAGAATTAAACTCCAGTTTCCCAGGTGACCTGGATTTATCTTTATCCCATTTGTGAAGACAGTGTCATTTTCCTGATGAAAATAAAGAGGAAGCAATATTTGCCTCAGTGAAGGTCTTCCTGTTGTAGAAGCCTCAGCTAGCAGTTCCAATATCCAGAAGGGGTTTCTGCCTGTGGTGGGATTCAAATATGTGAACAACTGGTTCTCTGTGTGGATGCCACTTCAAGAAGTCCATTCTGAGCCTGAGCAACAAAAAATTAGCTACCAGCTCTGCCGAATTGGTGTGAACTGGCTGAATCCCACCACTAGTTTCTCCTATATATGTAGCACAGCATGGCAGCTTCATTTTGTTGTTGGAAAGAAGCATATTTCCTCACTTAAAACATTACTGAAGTATAGCAGCCCTTCAAAGCTTCAAACCTAGTAATATTTGTTGATTAGTTTTGAGAAGCAAAAGATCTTATATGTCTGAAGTTGTGGTTTAATGCTTTTGGTTTTCTTTTCTCTAATTGTTCAAACACTGAGGGTATAGAATTCAGTAGTTTCATCTGTTGCTTTCAAATATACGTGTGAGGAACCACGATAACATTCCGCCTCACAGTATTTCTCCTAGGCTGATTGTAATCTATGTAGCTGTTCAACTGTCTGTGAATTTTAAAATAAGTCTGAAATGTTTGAACTTTTAATTATTCATGGCTGAGACTTATCTGCAGAAGATTTGGTGTACCGTATTTGCTGGCATTATTACTTTTGCTATTCTTGGCCCTCTTAACCCATATTTTAATTCCATGTATGGAGCTCTTTGTCTCCAAGAAGTTGAATTATTAAAATTTTTATAATACATGGCATTATAATAATTACATGGAATCAATATTTATTTTTGTGCTGAAAGGCTTTTGACTGGCCCATTGAAGGTCTGCTGATTCCAAACAGCCCTCCACTAAAGAAACCTGCTGGTAGGAAGTCAGAGATCAACATGCCTTTGAGACTGAAGGTTTTGAGAAATGGCGAGCCAGACAAAAACAAGGCCCTCTCTGTTCTTGGACTTGACTCTGCATTTGTGATAAGAAAACAGTAAGAACATAGTGTTTCTTTTTCTCATATATGTGTAAATGTCTTTATGTGTACGAATTAAAATCAAAGTTATATGAACTTTGCGAGTAACTATACCTTTTCATTTACCCCCCCCGTTTTTTTAAAAAAAGTGAAACTGCTGAGATAGCTTTCAAAAACAACAATGAGGAAAATATGAATTCAGACACAAGTCCCACGATTAAATTAAACAGCTAGCTATCCGTCTTGATCAGAAACATAATAATTTATATGCAACCAGGGCTTTTTTTCTCATAGAACGCCCAGAATGAAGTTCTGGCACCTTTTTTGGATGGAACCTTGTAGGGTAGGCAAGGCGGGTTGTATGATGTGTATGTGAGTTCTGGCACCTTATATATAAATTAGGGCAATCCTGTACCCACATATATTTAGATCTCCATTTTAAAAGACTGGTTTAGAAGTGCACAGTAATTCTTGTCCCAATGGCCTATGTCTTTGGAGATATTATGTTGAATAACATTGAACAGATTTTTGTTCATTCTGATTAATTTTGTCCATCATTGCTTTCATTCAATAAAGGAGAATATCTGTAGCTCAGAGGTACTTGGTGTTCTCTGAGCTTGGTTGTTTTCTTGCAGAGATTTCATTACCCAAACTAGGTAACGTCATCAGTGCTTTAATTCAGCAAGAGAAATTTCTGTGTGAAACTAGGATCTAACATGTTTCCAGAGATTGCTATTACAGCTTATATTGTATCAGTGAGAAGCTAATGTATTCATATATGTATTTATTATAGCTCATGGCAGTGTTTATAGTGTTCCCACTTCCTAATTTTCCCCTAGCAACAATCCTGTTAAGTAGGTTGGATTGAGAAGCAGTGACTGAAACAAAGTCACTGAGGGAGCTTCTGTAGCTGAAGGTGGATTTGAACCTGTGGATCTCCCTGGGATTATTGAAGTACTATACCAGGTGGATTGTTCTAGGACAGGGATGTCAAACTGTGGCCCATGAGCCAGATATGTCATGGTGAAACCACATTCACCCCATTGCCAGCAATGGAAAAAAATCGCAATACATTGTGACACATCAAGTGACATTGCGAGTTTGACATCCCTGTTCTAGGATATCTTGCTATCTGAATAGGAATATATAGCCTCATCCACAATATTTGATCATGAGCGTAACCTTAACATGGTCTTAACAAACAGTGGAAATAGGACACCTAAGAAGTCTGTATAGAAAAACAAGACAATATAAAATTAGGAATAAAAAGGGACTGAGTAAATGTGAACTAGATATAAAAGAGAGTGAGTGGCATAAAAGAAATATATTGAGTTGCTTTGCTATATAGAGAAAATAAATGAAGATAGCATTAGAAAACAAATGTAGATGAAATGAATTAATGGGTTAAGAAGAAACAAACACTGAAAAAGTTGGGTTAAATGATATCCATGAAATCCTAACTAAACATTTTTAAAGAATAAAAATCAATACATGTACTACAGGCAAGAATGGTTTGCAAAAATGTGTATTGGTGTAAACTACTTCTAGCTGTGTTTCCTTTCTCTTACTTTATGACTTAAATTTATTTAGATAACTATTTCATCCTTATTTTAGTAATTTCAGTTGCACCACAAGTTAAAGCCTATAAACTATAGTTACATAGCTATAGTGAGCAAACCTTTATGTTTCCTGAAGCAAAACGCTAACAAATCCATAGTGCTCAATAGTGGCCTCAAGCAGTGAAGCACAAATGCTTATTGCTCTGTGCTTAATTTTATAGCATTTATTTCAATTCCATTCCTCAACATTATTGCTATAATTCCTGTAGAAATCTCATCTTTTTAAGAACATCATTTCATTGGTTGAATTTTTATTCCATCTACTCTGCTGAAGTTGTCTCTTTATAAACAAAAAAAATAGTTTGAAGCAGCATAACATCATAATTGATTAATTAATATTTATTTTTAGTGTTTTAAATTTAACCATTTCTTGTTCTCTTTGACTTCATGTTTCCAACTATCTTTTTCTCTATATACACATTATTGATATTTCTCTCTTATAGCTGCCAACTGCCTAGAGTTTGTGAATAGGTGACATACAAATGAATAAATAGCTTTTTCTCATCCTCATGTTTCATCACAATCATTCTCTTATATGCATTTTTCTCATCTACAGCTCCTTTGACTTCATTATTCTACCAAGCCACTTTTTTCATACTTCCATATCCTCTGCAATACTTCTTTTCTGTTTTTTCCAACTAGGCTCTATATCACAGTTCATTCTATCTATCTTCTACTCATTCTGTTGGGAGATTAATCAATCTCTTAATTCTTTTTCTAGTTGGGACTCATATTTTCTCTTTCTTTACTCATTCTATTGGAAAATGACTAATTTTGTTAGTTTGTACCCCACATACTCCCAAACAATACCAACATCCTGATCATACCAAGCACATACACCATTTATTTCAACTAACTAATATAGCCTATTGCTTGTTTATTAGACATCTGCAAACTTTTGTAAGAAAAATAAACTGGCAGTAAACAGGACAAAAGGCAAGTAAAAGCAGGGAAACAGAAAATTTATAGAACTTTCCAGAGCCACTGGAAACAATACACGGGATACAGTCCCAAGGGAATGGCATTTAATTAGGCTAATCTTAATTCTTCTACAAAGAAGAATAGAACTGAAAAGTAGAATATCAGACAATCTCTAGTTTGATGGAGATGATGTAGCCAACCATTTTACTTTCACTTTTGTTTCTTTCAATTATTTTTTCCATTCATCATTTTTTCCCAAGATACACCATTGACAGTGCAAAACACTGCTCTGTTTAGAACTGCTCCTATCCCCTATATGCTTTACTGCTTATTTGATTTTCATCACAAAAATAAACTCAATCTTATCCTTAGATGTATATAATATCCTTTGCTATATGTAACCATTAATAAAATCTATGCTTAAGCTATGTATTTGAAACAGTATTTTTTGTATGTAGATATTCACTAATCACCATTATCATTCATGCTTGAGTCTCAAAATGGCTGAATCATTGTTTTCTAATGAAAAAAGTCATTTTTTTCAGATGAATACATATGCACACATATATAATAAAAAACCCTCCTTTTTACTATTTTTCTCTAAATAATAAAGTAATTATAATTATTATAGAGCTTTTCATGTTAAAACTTTTTGTACTAATGTCTACTATATATAGTGGCTTTAGCTCAACATACTTTACAAAATTAACTACATTTCAGGAGATTTTTGCAGTTTGTTTACTATCTCCTTCCTTGATTCATAATTCATAATCAAATCATGATTCTTATCATGATTTTGATATATTTAGTAATTACTTTCACTTCTCAGCTTGCTTTAGAGAGGAAGACAGAATAAAATAATTCTTTCCTTTTGGATTTCTTGTTGATTATATTAATTATACTGAAGACTATGTCTCTGTTATTCCAAAAATGGCGATTAGATTTTAATTAAAACTTAAAAAGTTAAAAATACTCTGATACTTTTCTTAATACGTTTTTAAAATTGATAAATGATAATTATTTTGAATTTATGTAGGTATATATAGGGGAGGAGAAGATTATATAAAAAGAAACAGCTTTCCATGATAGTTTAGTTTTAGAATTAAACAGTAATAGAAAAACAATAAGATCTATGATAAAGACTGATGATATATTTAAGATGAAACATTTCAAATGGAACAAAACCTTTAACTACAGTAGTAACGTATTAAAGTCTCGGATGTATAACTGAGCTGATCTCGTTCAAGAATATCATACTGTAATGCCTATTTCACACTTCTTCAAACCAATAGTCACACGGTGTTTTTTTTTTTCTTTTGTTAAAATAGGAATGAAGGATAGTGGGGGTACAATGTTCAAAATTTTAGCTTTCCAGAAATATTTGAGAACTATATTTGTAAAAGTTTATCTAGACATAAAGAACTTTACTTAAAATCATTTAGTTTGCCTTTTTGTTCAATAATGTCTGTAATCCTTTACTGAATCCATTTCTGTATGAAATCCTCAATTTCTAGTAGGATAGAATACTGTATAACTTCATACATATAATATACTTTTATATTATCTAATATTATTGCTTTTATATCTTCATTTTATAACAGAGAACTGTGAATATTCATATATCAGTGAAAAGCTTTGATGTAAAGAATAAGTTAAATACCTCATTTCTCACATTGTTAGCAAAGATGTCACCTTTTAACCTTTCTTTTAAGCTTTTTAGAACAGCTGATGCTTTTTTATAATGGTTTAATATTACTTTTTCAGATTGATTAAATACACTTCATACATCGCTGAACAATGAGTAGCATTCAGATAGGCTGTCCGCTGAGCTGCCTGCAAAAGTGATATAGTTAAAAAAATAATCTTCAAAGTAAAGTCAAGCCTGAAATTGAAATCTTTGACGCATACATCTCATAATTAGTTCTCTCCCTGCCAGATCTAAAATGTGAATGTGCTATTCTTAAAATTATTCAGATCTTTTTACATAGAAATTTAATGAATGGTATAAGCTTTTAAAGTTTTTTTTCCTCTAGATCTGAGACAAGATCTAAAGTTTTCCAAACTACCTTTTATAACATTTTTGAATTTCCATGTTTGGTCATCTAAAATCCTGCAGCTGGGTTTAATAGTTACATAGTTATATACATGAAAGCAGTGTGAAGCTACAATAAGACTTTTTCCCTACTGTCACTATAGCCGCAACTGAGAAGCTATTAATATTGGTACTACTTCTCTGCTCCTGGTTAACTTGATTTTGAGTTTGAAGAGAGAATTGTGACAGAAAAATGTTCTTCTACCTTTTTCACAACATTCTAATAAGTTTATTTTAAATGTAAAAAGTTTCCCATCTCTTTGTTGGATGTAAATGTCAGTTATGTATATATTTCATTTATTTAGTGTACATGCGGAATCTGGGATTCATACAGCTGCTTAGGCAATTAAAGCTCTTGACCAATACAGTTGAGTTTGTGTGTGTTTGCCTTTTTCCAGCTGATTTCCGCATTATTTCACAAAGCCCTTTTGGGTGCTTTACAATATGGAGAACCCACACCCACCCAGACAGGCAAGACACCAGAATATAAACCGGTAGCAAGCAGCACTGCTTACAAGCACTGATGATGTTACCTAGTTAGGGTAATGAAACATCTCTGAGGAAACAGGCAAGCTCAGAGAGCACCAAGGACCCTTCAATATGGAGAACTGTTTTGTGAGAGCCACAAGCTCAAATTCCTCTTCAGCAGAAGGAAGGAGGAATCTGATTCTTTGGATTCCAGCTGATAATATAGATCAGTATTTCTCAAGAATGGAAACTTTAGTGTGTGTAGATGTCAACTTCCAAAACAAGTCCCCAACAAGTTTTGCTGGCTGGGGAATTCTGAGAATTCTACTCCACACATCTTTAAGTTGCTAAGGCTGAGAAACACTGATATAGATACAAGAGATAAGTCTGTATGGTACCTGTTTCTGTGAACATTTGATTAAAAATTACGCTAATGAAGTTTCAATAATGAAGTAGGTGCCAAAAGGGAAGGAATTGTATGATATCATTCTTCAATTGGTCTGTTTGAAAGCACGTTTGATAGACTGTGACAGTAATTGGCGATCTATTCCCCCCCCCCTCTCTTTTAAGATAAAAAAATACTCTTGTTGATAGTGGTAAAAACAGCAATAACAGAATTCTTCGTAATAGCTTCCAGCCAAGTTACAAATTTTTTACTTGAGGATGTTCCTGGATGCCATGTCCGAGATGCTTTTGGGTTGGGAGACTTGATAGGTGATTCTCAGGAAAAGCTCAGTTGCTGCATCAGCTATCACCCTTGATGTCTTGTTATCAGGATTATGTATTTTTCCCACTTATAAAGAATGTGATCAAAAGCCATTCCTCTAGCAATTTAATTATATAAGACAATTGAAAAGATTTTCCGACCCAATTCATTCTTATGAATCAATTTGTTTTAATCTAAAACAGTGCTTAGACTATATTTTTCAGGTTTTCAGATATTCATAGAGGCACCACTCAGTGGATATGTAAGTGCCCGATATTTTGTTGTTTAAATTTCCATTAATTTGAGATGCTGCGTGTGCTGTTCTCCTGGGTGAAAGTGAATGGAGCTCATATTGCAGTGTCAATTCTTTTTCTAATATAAAAAAAATCAGTTTCAGGTAATTCCAGTGATGCTAATAACATGACATGTGCTAGAATCAAAGAGTGGAAAATGATCTTTCTCTAGGCTGCAAAATTACATAATTTTGTTTTTATATTTTTATATATTTATTCACAATAAATGTTAAAAGTTATTTGGATTTCCTGTTTATATAAGATACATTGATTTACTTTAGAAATGCTGACACAGAAAAGAAACAGAAACCAAGGGGACACCAGAAGATGTACACTGATACAAATTCAGAAAAGGAACTACACAACACAGAATTTCAGCAGTTTCTTGAAAGGTAAATATGTCGATATTAAAAAATGTTGTTTTCCATTTGATTGTGACTCATATGGTTGTTTTTTTTATATATAAAACAAGTTTTATTAAGTTTTTCAATTTTTACAACAAAGTGCTTAGGAAGCAACATGGTGATCGGGTAATCAATCATCCAAAAAAACAAAACATTTATATATAACTCAAGTTAACTCATTAAAGAATCCCTCTCTAATTCCTACAAATCATATACCATATTCAGATGAATACATTTCTAATAAAGTTCAATCAATCAATAAAATTATCGATAATCATTTAACTATATAAATCCCAGTCCTGTATTTAAACTTTACAAAATTTCAGGTACCATACTTCAATTTAACCCTATATAGGCCTAATATTTATGCTTCGGGTATTCCCAATTTCCCTCTTTTCATAACATAATATTATAGAATAATTATCATATATAGAATAAACATATTAATTCAGAAAATACAATTTTACTCTATTTCACATATTTATTCTACTAAACAAAAGTTTTTCTTCTCGGTTATAGATCTAAGTCTTAAACTTTAAATCAGTCCGTGTCTAAACAGCCTTTTTAATCCATTACATACAGCTTTAAAACTCATTTTAAAGTCTTATTCTGGCTTTCTTTTTGTGCCACGCAGGTTTCTATAACAGAGCTTCTATGTCTAGAAATAAGTCTTTCTTTATTCCTCGTGGTATCATTTGGATCAAAAAAAATATCCCATTTTCTGTTTAGAGAAGCTGACTTCTTTGTAATTAATCCCTTGTTGTTTTAGAGATTCAACTCTCAATGTTTCATTCTGCTGAGTAAGACACTTAGTTATGTCCAGTTTTGTACTTAGTAGTTGATTTTGTACATCAATTCCTGTCGCTGTTAAAGTTACTTTTTGTTCATCAAAAATCTCAATAGGTTGTATGTAAAATGACTTTAAATCCTCACTGGTGTTTCTTGATTCCTCTTGTATTGTTTTTTGGTTTGTAAGATGATCAGGTGAAATCTGGGATTCAGTTTGTAAATTTAAAATAGGGTTTCTGCTTTTTATTTCTGTAGTAATCTCTTTTATTTTAGCGCATACTTGCTCAGTGGCTTCATGAATTTTTTCCAGTATAAGTTTACAGTTAAGTTGTAAATAGGGTTTCTCCATTTCCATAATGGCTAGAAGCAATCCTTTTATCTTTTAGTGGGGGCTATATTTGATAGCAGTTAGGCAATGTCCACCCCCCACAACTGCAGTTGTTTCAATTTCTTTATCTTTTCCCTTTTGTGATGATTTGAAGGTCAAAACCAACCTCAGCATCAAACAAGAGAAGGCAGTTGTAGTTTTAAATTTCACCACAAGATGTCCTCAGTAGATTATACAATCTTTTCCTAGATACCCAAAACAACATTAATTTTTTTTTTTAAAAAAAGTAATATTCTCCACATATGAATTAGGTCAAATAATGAAGTTCAATAATAAGAGGTTTTTCGGGACCCCAAAGTAAATAGAAGTGAAAATAGTCAATAAAATTAATTATTCTTTTGTTTTGTTCAAAGCTTCTCTGCCCACATTAATCAACCTCGCTCTCTGAAAGCAGGGAAATAATTCCCCAAAGGCTTTTTACAGGAAAAAATAGGATAAAGAGAGGAAGGGAAAGGTCTCACCTTGATCATCCATGGTGGTTCTTTATGCTTAGATCAGTGGTTCTCAACCTGTGGGTTGGGACCCCATTTGGGGTCGAATGACCATTTCATGGGGGTCGCCAAACAAGGCTGTCCACCATTTTTTCCCCTTTTCTTTGACCACGCCCCTGGCACCCAGTGATGTATAAGTGGTTGGGGGTCACCACAACATAGGGAACTGTATTATGGGGTCACAGCATTAGAAAGGTTGAGAACCACTGACTTAGATGTTCTTGTAACTTTCGGCTGGTGTGGCTGTGTGATCGGCCATCTTACAGGGCGATCTTTGCTTCATCAGCCCTAAGGAGTAACTCAAGCCATGGGAGGAGCTGCCGCCCTCCCGCAGTCGACGAGAAGCCTCCTCATTGGTGGTCGCCCCTCCAGGATGACTTTCAACCCTCTTCAGGGTCTACCGACGAAGAAAAATCAGCCGGCGAAGGGACAACTCTCTTCACACGGTCGCTAACATCGCGAACCAGAACCGGAAGTCATGACACATATGGTTTTTAGTGGCCTGGCATGGCTGTTGTTCTGCTGGTGTAAGTCAGTAAATGGAATGAGAAAAAGGGAGAAGAAGCTCAATTCTGGTCTTGAAGGGCAGCTTTGTTGTCACAAGAACTGATGAGCTGACTTGGATGCTAGTCAGGCCATAGGTGTTGGGGGTCTATAGCCCAGATGGGACATCCACCTCCTCAGTTGCTGGGCATCTGACCTAAAATTGGAAAGAGAGAAGCAGAAGAGAGAAAAAGTCTACACATGGTGAATAGAGTGGCTGGAGAGACAAGTTGGAGAGAGATATTAAGCATGGAGAGCAACCATTGATTCCTGTTCTTCAAGGGACAAGTAAGGTCCTTGAATGGTTTCCCTGGAAAAAGGGAAGTGAAGACCCAGAGGAATAATGTTCCACCCAAGATGGTAACAATGAAACTGGAGGGCTACATGTAACCACATAAGACCCAAGATGGGAAGGAGGAGATTCTCAAACATTGATGAAGCCATTGGGAAGGACTAGGCAAAAGATCCTAAGAGAGGTTCTTCCCTCAGTGGAGAAACAGTAGATGTTTGGTTCAGCAGATCAAGGAAAAAGTCAAGCTGTGGTGAGCACTCTACAGTATAAATCCAGTCCATTCCTTTCTTTTCACTCTCTTTTTTCTTCATAAGGCCCCCAAAAGGGGGAGGAAGCAAGGTTGCTCAAAGAAGATGGTTTCTAGGAGGGAGACTTAGGAAGAAATCTAATACCAGGATTGTATTGTACATACCTGTTGTAAATAGCTTCACTGTAAATAGTAAAAAGCATAAAAACCTCCACTGTCATGTTTTCTGTCTGTTGTCATCCTTGCAAAGCAAAATATACATCCAGTTCAAAAAGAACCTTGTGACATTGTGTCATTGATATTCACCATTAATATATTAGAATGATGAGGGACCATTGTTGTGGTTAGTTGCAAAGTCATGTCTGACTCATTGTGACCCCATGGACAATGTTCCTCCAGGCCTTCCTGTCCTCTACCAACTTCTGGAATCCATTTAAGCTCACGCCTACTCTTCAGTGACTCCATATAGCCACCTCATTCTCTGTCGTCCCCTTCTTCTATTGCCCTCAATCTTTCCCAGCATTAGGCTCTTCTCCAGTGAGTCCTTCCTTCTCATTAGGTAGCCAAAGTACTTGAGTTTCAACTTCAGGATCTGGCCTTCTAAAGAGCAGTCAGGGTTGATCTCGTCTAGGACTGACTGATTTGATCTCCTTGCAATCCAGGGGACTCGCAGGAGTCTTCTCCAGCACCATAGTTCAAAGGCCTCAATTCTTTTGCGCTCAGCCTTTCTTATGGTCCAACTTTCACATCCATACATTGCAACTGGGAAAACCATGGCCTTGACTATACATACTTTTGTTGAGGGACCATTACAATTGTTTAATTTCATTTACCGAATAGGCTATCCAAGTTTTTATCTTTGTTGCTTGTCATTTATTCAATGTTATCAGATTTCATTGCACATTTAGAGATCTGAAAGTCAGTCAATGATGCTTGAAATATAAGCTTAGGTTGTCCCAAATGTGCTTTTTTCAAGAGGCAACTGGGCTTTCTTTGTTTTTCCTTAAAGACATTTTGTTTCTCACCCAAGAAGCTTCTTCAGTTCTGAAGAAGCTTCTTGGATGTGAAATATGAACCATAACCTGGATGACTGAGAATCTACATAGACATAAATGTAGGTCACTTCTACACATAGGCATTGTTCTATTGTTCTCTCCAACTAACCAAAATAAAAATGCCCCCCCCAAAACAAATATTCAATCAATGGCCCATATTCTTGTTCATTTTTATAATTTGTTAAATATTGCACAGTCTGTGTTATTTATATATTCCTTACTTAGGAATTGCCAGCAATTGTAATAAGGGGGACCTACAAAGCAATTATAAAGGCATTATATTGCATTTTTAAAAAAAATATGTGTAAAAGCATGGAAGGTGAATCCTTATAAAGAGAGAAGAGTCTGGCCTAAGCCTAAATCCTGGGAGGTGAAATAAGGTTGTATTTGCAGTCGAGGCCACCATGATAAGGCAGTACTCTGATTTTCCAACTCTTGTTTAGATTTTAATTTCCCATCTGTATTCAGAATATCCTTATATGTTAAGATTTTCTCAGATTTAACTAAGTTTGGGTGCACAAATGCTTCCATCATTGATAGCCATCCTGGGATTTTCGTATAGATTTTTGATTTTATCTTTTCCCATACAGATAATAGTGCATTTCTTATATAGTGGTTTTGGAAATATCTGTGGATTTTGTTCTTTTCATACCATAGAAATGTGTGCCATCCATGTTGCAAGTCATGTCCTTCTAAATATTACAATCTTTTATTTCTTAGAGTTATCCATTCTTTTAGCCATGTTATAGCACATGCTTGGTAGTATAAGACGCAATCCAGTAATCCAAATCCTCCATTTTCTTTAGCTTCTTGTAGCATTTTCCGTTTAATTCTAGCTTTCCTTCCTTGCTAAATGAATTTTGAGATCAGTGTATACAGATCATCAAAAAACTTCTTTTCTATTTTTATAGGTGCTGTTTAGAATAGAAAGAGGAGTTTTGGTAAAATATTCATTTTCACGGTAGCTATTCTTCCTAACACTGATAGTTGTAAATTTTTCCATTTTTCCAAATCTAATTTTACTTGATTTAGTAATTTTATATAATTATCTTCTTTTATCTTTGCATATCTTGCTGTTAAGTATATTCCCAAATATTTAACTTTCTTAACTATTTGTAAGTATATTTTTTCTGACAGTTTTCTTTTGCTTATCTGTAAGGTTTTTAACTATAACTTTGTTTTTTTTCTCTGTTTATCTTCAGTCCTGCTACTTCTCCAAATTCTTCTATTCTTTTCAATAGATTAGAAATTGTCTCCAACTGTTCTTCTAGAATAAATACCAGGTCATCCGCAAATACTTGTAGTTTGTAGCTTTCATCTTTTATCTCCATTCCTTTAATTTCTGGATCTTCCTGGATCTGGTCTCATATTTCTATTGAGAACTTCCAAGATTAGTATAAATAACAAAGGCATGATACTGCATTTTTAAAACAACTTGTGTAAAAGCATGGAAGGTGAATCTTAAAGAGAGAGAAGAGTCTGACCTAAGCCTAAGTCCTGGGAGGTGAGATAAGATGAACTTCCCACCAATAGGAACTGGCACTCTCATTCTGCTTGAGGGTGTTCATAATTTCTCATCATCTTCAAGTTCAGGTCCAAAGAAATGAATCAGTTTAGCTGCAAATCGTGTGGGATTACACAAGTGATTTTGGAGTATCCAATGTCTATACAAAGTCCTCCCAAGCCTTTTAGTCCCTCCATCAAGGTATTATGCAAATGCCACCTATTTTTACCTTGGCTTGTTAGGGGTGGCAACAATGGCAACTTCTTATTAATTGACAATTCTTAGCCACAGTAAAATGTCTATAAGTACAGAATAGAAAAATGGGCTTGTATTAAAATGCAGCTGTTAAGTATGGCAGTACAGCTTTAGAAGTCACGTAGAAAGTATCAACATCTTCAGTATTTATTCACAAATAAATGGTACCATTTGGCGGAAGAGCAAATGCTCTTTGAAACTGTGTTTCTCATTCTGCAAGGATTGTACAGTTGAGGGATTACTAGTCTTGGAATTGCTCCCTGTGGATGAGAGGTCTGTTCCCAGACCTGAAACTATTTTCACTTTAACAGAATAAGGGCTCCCTTGAGATGTTTGGACTTATGGTCCTTAAGTTCGGAAAAGGGTGAGTTACCCTTTGGTTATAATAGTGCTAGGTTAATTGATATTCCTAATGAGGAGTACAGTTATCCTGATGTAACATTCCATTTCTAGTCCATCAAGTGTTGAAGACTTAATGCAAACATTACACACATGCTTTCCTTTGTTAAAAAGGTGTACCACAGCGCTGAATTTGCCCTTTGCTGCAAGAAGGCTGTTCACTGAAAAAGGAGTGGAACTCTTTGTTTTGAAAGACTTGGAGAAGGATCAGCTGGTAAGAAAAATAAAAAAATGTATTTGCCAATACTTTCTTCAAAAAATATTTTTCCAATAAAATTAGTATGGTTTAAATAGTATTTCCTGTCTTTCATTCAATCCATGCATTGGAATATTTAGGCTTACTTCCTTCTGTTTGGTTCCCATCATTTGGGCACAATTACCGGCGAACAAGTCAGCAAAATGTAGTTATATTATGCCAGCAGATGGCCATTAGAATGGATTTTTAAAATAACAACTAGTTTTCTATATTAAATCAAAATCAGGTCAGAAGGGTTACAGAATAATCTGGCATAGAAGTGCAGTAAGGAATTAGCTGGTGCAAGGATTTGTGCTGTTGTTTAACTTTAATGGATCTCAGGTCGTAGTTTGGAACCTTTAATGAAATATGACACACATTAAAAAGGGATGCTTGTACAGGTCTACCTGTACTATTTTTATACTTTTTTTTTTCTTGATATCCATTCCAGTGGTGGGACTCAGCCGGTTTGCACCACTTCGGCAGAACTGGTAGCTAATTTTTTGTTGCTCAGACCCAGAATGGACTTCCGGAAGCAGCATCCATGCAGAGAACCGGTTGTTCGCATATTTGAATCCCACCACTGACCCATTCCATGGTTGCCTCAGTACCTCAGCAAATTTATTTCAGTATTTATTGTATTAAAATTTAGCTCAGGCACTGTTATACTATTACCCACAAATTCATAGTTTTTATTGACTATAATCCTTAACAAAAAAAGAAAAATGAATTATCTGTCCCTGTATTTATTTTGTCACATGTTACTTCAGAGATTTGTACTATAGTTTCATGTATTTTCTTGTATTTTAATGCAAATAAAGTTTTGCTGATCTGTATACTATTTGGGAAATTTATTTTACTTTTTGCTGAGGAGTTGGAATAATGTTTTGCAAATTTCTGTTCAGGAAAGCAAACTTATTTTTCATTTTCATTTGCATTATGCTCAACTACTAGTAGACTTTCCATGTGGATTTTCTGCAGAAGACTTATAAACTATTTAGCTTTAAAGTATTGTCAATACAGTAAGATAATTGTGGCAAGCCTGGCCTTTTAGTAAGAACTTGGACTTGTGTTAAATAATTTACAAGATAATTTTGGGAAAGGCACTATTGCATATTATTGCATTAATAAGAATGTTTGTTACTATGTTATAAAAATACAATTATATATTCTGTAGAAATACATATTGAATCTGGGAGCAGATTTGAATTCATGCATCAGAAAAGAAAATGCATGAATTTATTTTTAAAAATGAAATGTGAATGTGAACCACATTCAGTTCTCATTTTTTAAAAACAGCTTTACATATCTTGTGGAGAGCAATGGATTGATCCGCAGTGGACTACAGCTCAGCACAAGAAACGTCTCCAATGTAATAATTTAGCATCTGATATAATGGCTATGCGTGCATACTGTGTCATGAGGAACCTAAAAAGTGAGCACATTATTTTCTATGCTTTGTTAAAAAGACTGTATATAATGACAGCTAGCTAATATTAGGCATTTACCACCTGAATGGAAATCATTGGCTGACCCCTTTGTCCCATGTTGGGTTTCATGTGAGTCATGCTTGGAATCAAGGCATTATAATGTCAAAGAATAATGCATTATGCAGGTACATCAGAAAACATGAGGAATTTAAATATTTTTCCCCCATCACACTATAAAAAGAGCACAGACAGATCAATGGATCTGGTAGCATATATTCACAATAAATGGGAAGAAAGTTGTGCTTTGGAGTACACACAGTCTCCTTCAATTTGTCCAAGAAAACCTGGTATCCCATGACTCTTGTTCCAGTCTTTTTCACTAACTCTTTCCTCATTGGCCAGGTAGGCACTGACAGGGAAATATATGGTCCATGCTTCCAGATTCTGTTATGGAAATCCTTACTTTTTGAACTACTTTTTCATTGCTGATTTTTTCCCATCAAAAGGCTAAGTAAACAAGATAGCAAACTCAATGGTGTTTTCATGACCCACTTGATTAGATGGAATTAGAACAATCCTTTTGAAAACTGGGTCTGTTTTAGGCAAAATACAACTTCCATGGAAATTAGATCAATAGTTCAGTTTACAATACTCCTTTTTTGGTATTCAGTGATCCAGGAAATAGGTGTGGGTGTTTATAGGTTAAAGGTTTAAAAATGTTCTTTATTTTTTGCTGGAAATCTGATTTTAAATTACATTTTTATAAATTATTGATGATAGATAAGAAAACTCGTCTGTAACTTGTTTTAAATAAGTTTGAATTCATTTTCCAGATTTTGTTTTGCAAGCCAAGAATGACATTGTTGTTGGTGCTAAACTTTCTGTTGCAAGAGCTTTAGTGGAATTTGAAGAAAAAAAAGGTGCTGAAGAGCCAGAGAAAGAAAAATGTGAAAAAAGCATTGAAAAAATAAAAGATGACACAGATAAATATCTGTAAGTGGTCCAAAGTAATACCTTCAATTTTTTTTTTTTACAAGATTTCAGAAACTGTTTACGTTGCCTTCTTCTTGGGGCTGAGAAAAAATGACTAACCCAAAATTATCCAGCTGGCTTGGTGCCTCAGCAGGACTAGAATTCATGGTCTCTTAATTTCTAGGCATACCCCTTAACCATTACACCAAACTGGCCCTCATAATAGTGAACAGCTCTACTAAATATAATCAAGACATATGAAATCAAGGTGTTCTTTCTTCCTCTAATCAAGCTGACTGGGAAAAAGAATTAGAATGCATAGAATCACAATACACAATACACCTCATGTGTCCTCACATGATGCATTATTAAACTGTGGAATTCACAGTGATGGCCACCAACTTGCATAGTTCTAAAATGGATGAGATAAATTAATCAAGAATAGGTTTATTGATTACTATTAGCCTTGACATTCTGGATTGAATACAGCATTAATATACCTCTGAATACTAGAGAACAATAGAAGAAGAGGAGTGTATGTCTATTTCCTGCCTGCTGAGACCCCAGAGGCATCTGGTTAGCCATGTAAGAAACAAATTTCTGGTTTAAGATGGGCTATTATGTTCTTAATGGGATTTTAAATAGCCTTACCTCAGCACTGTTCAATGTTACAAATTATCTCCCACTTATATTTAGCACCCACATTTTTTTTTAAAAAAAATTAAGATCGCTCAAAGTCAAAAGCCACCAGTGGAAGTAGAATAGCTCTAACTAAAATAAAAATAAATAGAATGGCTTGAACTTCTGGATCTGCCTGCTGGAAGGTTTTCTGAGGGAGAAGACATGTGATTTTTATGTGCTGAGAGAATATTTTCTTAGAAGGCAAGCGTATCTGTTTTGTTGACTGTGTATTTTCAAATTCAGAGATATATCCTGATGCAACAGTATACAGTCTGCTATTTCACTTTCTTGTAATTTTCTGTAAAACAGTTTTGTGATGCATTCTGTTAGGATCTAGTATATCTCTTACCACATAAATTAGAAACATTTTGTTCTTTATTCAGCATTGAAATTATCTTCTTTTTCAAATGATATTTGTATTTTATAGATAGCACATAAATATAAATGCTCCATGTGTTCATTTTTATTATGACTCCATGAAAGAAATGCACTTTATATGATGGAACTTTTGTTGTTCATGATTGGTACAAAAACCTACAATCTGTTTGGCCAAAGTTCAGAAAGGGAATGAAAGCCGGAATGTATATGTATTTTGAAGAATGATTGATTAACTTACCAGCACCTCCTTGCCCACTTTCTGTTATTTGTGCACTGCCACAGTGGAAGAATGCTGAAAGTGGGAAGTAGAATACTAATGAAAATACCAGTATATAGACATATTGCATTAATTCTGTTGCACGTTAGATGGCACTGTTGTTTTCTAAAATATTAAAAAAGTTCCCCAGTATTAGAAATAATCCTTCTAGAAATGCTATGCCATTTCTAACTTATAGAGAGTATTTGCCATCTTAGATATATTAATACCAGTCTATATATAATACTTCACTGATGATGAACTATTTATTTTGGTGTCAATAGTATATAACATATCTTGATGTAATAATTCTAATCTAATCTAATCTAAAGATTCGGCCTTCGTGTGTGTGTGTGTGTGTGTGTGTGTGTGTGTGTGTGTGTGTGTAGCCATAGAAAATTAAAGATTTGATTATTACACTGTGAATTTTACAAGTGGACATATTTCTCCAAAGCTCTGGATTTATTTATTTATTAAATTTTCCTCTGTTCATCTCACCTAAAGGATTCTGTAATTTTTGTCTCTTGCACAAAAAGCAGCAAGTTCCCACTGCTTTAACATACTCTATTGGGGTGCTTTTAAAAACAACTTGGAAGCTGCAAATAGTCCAGAGTGCAGCCATCCATATAAACATTAAAACCTGGCCTTGGGAGCACATTATACTTATACTACAGGTCCTGCATCGGCTATCAATAAGATACTGGGCACAAGTTAAAAGTGCTAATTCTAACCTATAAACCCTTCTATGACTTGGCACCAGTTATCTTCAGGACTGCACTTTCCACCAAGAATAGGCCCAGTTTACATAATTTTGGGGGGAGAAGCAGCTTGGGAGACGAGGGGTCAAGGCCAGGAAGCACTGCTTGTGGGTGGCCCTTTGGAATGTCCTCCCAGTTGAAATTAGATTCTTCCTCATTCTTCCTTCCTCACTGCTTTCTGCAATCAGCTTATTATCAAGAACTGTTGCTATTAGTATTTTTTTGCCTCTTTGCAATCTCAGCTATCATTCCAAGAGGGTTATTCTGGAACAGATTTTGGAGCTCATAAGTAGATGTAGGGGAAGGAAGAATGAATAAAGATGTCCTTCCACATTTCATACAACTCCATATCCAATCAATGAAACAAACACAGTTTAAAAGACAAAAGAAGTCGGATGTGGCTTTTGGGATATTATTTCCATAATAAGGCTTCACTGGTTTTTTTCCCCAAACTGTCCCAATCTTTGGAAGGTTGAACACATTGAATTAAATTTCAGCGGAAGAAAAGGTGGGTTTTTAATATATAGATTGCAACTCTGTGAATAATACCACTATAGCTAAGTTGAATACTGTACTGCCTTGTTGGCCAAAACTCCATATCCTAGTATTTGAGGGGGAAAAAAAACCACTTATAGCATATTGAAGGCATCAAGTAATTTGCAGATCTAATGATATTCAGATCACCCCTCTCTAATTTATTTTTGTGGAGGAAAAAAAATATGACTGTACAGAAAGGTATTTGGGGACAAGTAAGAACATGCTATTCCTGAATAGTGGCACCTGGGATTGATTTATTACAATTAATTTATTCATGCTTTTAATACAGTAATCTGCCTCCAAAAATGAAGGAGCATTTAACTGCAGAAATAAACCAATTATGTGTTTTAACATTATGGTTTTGAATTTTAAATTATGTTTTTAGTTCTCTTGTGGAGACCTTGGTGCTCTCTGAGTTTGGTTACTTGCAGACCTTTCAGTGCCTAACTAGGTGACATCATTAGTGCTAGTGAGGGTGAGATTTGCTGCTTAATTATCTTCATTAACTTGCAGAGCCACTTTGTTTTTTAAATAGACAATTAGAAATTTAAATCTTTTATATTAATATATTTATACTTAATATGTTTAATATAACAAATATTTAAATATTAAGTGTTTTAAATCAAGAATAAAATTTTATTAATACATAATTAATACATTAGAGATATGCTTATAATATATTTCATACACATATGCCCATATATTTAACAATGCATAACTTCCAAAAGAAAAGTTCCATAGTGTATTTCTAGTTGTCATAGTTCAGGGGTGTTAAACTCGCCATGTCACATGACATGTCATGATATATAGCGACTTTTCCCCCTTGCCAGAGCTGGGGTGGGCGTGGCTTCCATGTGACGCATTCAGCCTGTGGGCTGGCAGTTTGACACCCCTGGCATAGTTGATATAGCTTACAATTAATATTAGAAAAAACATTTTGTGCTACAAGAAGCATCTCACTTTCTAGCTATTCTCAGGGAGCCTACCCCCTAGCACATCCCAGTTTTTTATTTGTGCTTGTATGTAGCTTGCAAAATATGCTTTCCACTACTTGTCTAAAGCCTGATTCTGTTCCTTCAAGCAATATACATGAATAAATCTTGACTATTACACTGTTTTAGATCTGTTATCCAAATCACATTGGCCATTGTCTTCCATGGAGTTTATTATGTCATTCATTTCAATGAATTTAAGGCATGTAATTAAACATTTCAGTCCAAGGATTTATGAAACTCAAATTCTTATTAATAGTAGAATAAACAGTGTAACACTTTAACGTGGTATGCTCTTTTGGAAACTCAGTTTTAATCAATGGCTCAAATCTCTGAAAAAAATCACTGGTAATAAGTGAGCCTTGGTGGGCCTCTATATCTTTCCAGAAATTCACACATACGGTCACATCTTAAAACAGAAGCATATCATAGGTCTACAAAATATGCGTGGCAGCAAATTTCCTATGATTTTGATGAGGACTACAACATTCAGAAAGAAAAAACTGAGCAGTTTTTTGAAGATGCAGAGTTATATAAAAAATACAGGTCAGTTATTTATACTTGCATATAGTGAATTAATTTTATTCCTTTTATATCTTTTTATTATTACATTCTAAAAATTACACATAATACAATTATAAGGATACCATCTTTTAATAAGAGAGCATCAACTAAAAGAGTGTTTCTGATATAATTGTCCTTGTATCAAACCTGCTCAGATTATATTGAAGTAAAACTGTGTTCTAGGTTGATAATAATTTATTTAAAATTATAATGTCAGTTTGAAAATTAAATGCCTATTATAATGATTTCAGCTCTACAGGTAGTCCTTGACTTACAACCATTATTTAGTCAACATTCGAAGTTACAACGGCACTGGAAAAAGTGACTTATGACCAGTTTTCACTCTTATAACCATTACAGAAACCCCAAGGTTACATGATCAAAATTTGAGCACATGGCAACTGGCATGTATTTATGAGAGTTGCACTATCCTGGGTCATAAGAGTACCATTTGTAACCTTCTCAGCTGGCCTCTGAAACAGCAAGATAGATGTGGGAAGCCAGATTCACTTAATGACTACCTCATTTACTTAACAACTTAACAACTGCAGCAAAAAGATCATAAAATGGGGCAAAACTCACTTAACAACTGCCTTGGTTAGCAACGTAAATTTTAAGCTCAATTGTGGTCATAGGTTGAGGACTACTTGTACCCTGATGCAATTCTGTTTCAAGATTAAATCTTAATAAACAGTTAAGACATTCACTACATAATTAGAAATAGCTGAAAGTTTAGCACTTTATTCTACCATTACTCTGAGCAGATATTTACTAATCTCACAGATGACACTAAGTCAAATCTGAACACTTGAATTATTAGAATGCTGAGATACTGTAGAGATTAACTCTTATATTTCTGGCAAGTGTTAAATCCAGCAAAAGAGAAAAACCCATCTCTCAATCCACTCCCTGTTTACTAAATGCAATGAGCAAGGGAATCAGTTTTATCTTTTTTTGAAGGAGATAGGGTTGCTTTCTGCAGGTATCTCAACTTCAGAGTCTTAATAATTAATAAGGTTCTGATACGGCTATGAAAAAGTAGACTTTGTAATATCTCAAAATAAAAAAAGCTCCTAAGATATAGTCCTGTAAAAGACAATAAGGAAAACAAAATTGCATAAAAATCTAATAATTTTCTAAAGGAAGGATTAACATGTAATATAATATAACCTCTTTAGAGTTCCATTATTTCACATTTCACAAGAGTTTGAGGAGGTCTTCTTTATTTCTTTGCCAGCTCACTGTCACATATCTTAGAGTTTTATTTACTTTTTTCTTAGTATAGTGTACTAGTGTAATTATTTTAAAAATCAATGCAGGCTACAAAGATTTTGCGCCTGTATCCAGATGTCTTTGTTTGTTGGCACATTTCATATATAGTAAATATGGTGGAACATAATATTACCCTTGGAAAGATGGCATTTACTCCTGCCAGCTGTACATAAAACTGTTTTATAAGATTCAGTAAATTTATGCCTTTCTCGGGATCATAGAGTTGGAAAGAGCCATTTGGATCATTCAGCTTGATGCAGAAATCCAAATTATAAAGATATTTAGTCTGTCTCATTTTAGGCTTTTCATTCCACATCTTCATTTAACCACCTATCCATTTTTTTCTCAACATCTGTGCCCAGTTCTTTTGAATTCTGATTCAGTTTTGATTTCACACATTTGTTGCTGTTAGCATATAATGTAGTATGTATGAGGCATTTATTTTTGTTGGTCTTAGGCATCAACCAAAATTGGCTGAAGAAATCCAGAAAGACCATCATCAACACTTTGAATTTAAAAATGGGAAAATCATCAATTGCAGTTTTCCAAATCTTGTACTGGGTGTGGAGAATACTGATCTTCATTCTGGTACTGAAGTAGTTTTGTTGGAAAAGAAGTGTGATGATGTCATGCAACACTGGGTATGGAAAGAGGAAAGCAGGTATATTTCTATGTATTAGAAATGAGATGGAACATCCAGCCTTACAGCGTCCCCAGAAGGACCTTCAGTCACATTTTCCATTTGACTTATTCTTGAGTAATACTCATTGCCTGTTTCTTCTTCAGTTTAATTCTGATGTTATCAGAAGTCTCTCAAAATGAAAGCTCAGATAAATGGATTTTTAAAAGTCACAATTATAATCAATAGTTACCAAAGTCTCACATTTTCATTTTAAATACTGTAACTACTTTTTGTCATAATTTTGGCAAAACCTCCTATTTACATATGCTATATTAATTACAGTTAGATATCTAGAATGACCATATATTTTTCCTTCTGTATCCTTATGTCCAATGTCTGTCCTTTTCCTGTTGTCCCCTTGCATCGTTACAGATTAGGGACAAAGCCTCCATTATGCTATTATCATCCCTTCACTAATCTCTCTGGCAGATACAATAGATAGAATATAAACCTCCTAAGATGTATACAAACATCCTGTGATAAAATGAAAATAATTTTATCTGTCATGATTTTAAAACATAATACTTCATTACTTCAGACTCAGACTTTTGTTGCTAGGTCCTTTCATCTTGCAATTGATCCAGATCTAGTACTCGCAGTATCAATGCCCACTGTACTGAATGGATGTCCAAAATTTCCACTGGAAATACAAGAGTGTCCTATTATCCTTCAGGTTAGTAGCATTATTATATATTGTCATCAAGTATAGCAAATTATTATTTTAAATCCACAAGTTGCAATTCTATATCAACTATCTGTAAAAATAAAAATATTCCTATATTCTTATAATTCAGTAGCTGAGTTAAGCAAATTTGTCTTCCCCTGATGTTTTGCATTACGAAGTTACTAAACATAAAAATACCTGTTGCCTAAGTTGTTTACTTCTCTAATAAAGAGCATGTTTAATTATTCACATTACTCTGAGCTCAAATGAGAAATTAGTTTTAGTTTTCTTTTAACATTGCTATGAAGTTTTTGTATCCCTGCGGATTAGCTTCTATAACTTCAACTTGCTATCAAGTTGGAGCTCCAGACTGATGCATGTGGCACCTCCCCCCAGCCTCCATTTCACCATCAGAGGCCTTCAGGAAAGACCTCTGCAGCCGAGAACTGAGCTCCGGATTGAGGCTATGGAGGCTGGGGGGTGCTGTGCATGTCAATCCTGAGCTCGGTTCTCGGCTGCAGAGGCCTTTCGTTAAGGCCTCTGATGGCAAAATGGAGGCTGGGGGCGATCAGCCACAGAACAAGTGGGCTGGCTGGCAGGACTGTGAGGTGAGACAGGGGAAAATACATCCCCCGAAAGTAAGACTTGGTGCCTCTTTTGGAGGCCCCCCCCCCCAAAAAAAGACCAGATTTCATTTTTGGAGAAATGTGGTAGCAGCACAGAATGAACAAAATAAATTCAATGTGTTATCAGATATCTGTAGAGGTTAAAAATTTCCAAAGTCTAGACTCATTGTGTAATCTATTGAAGTGGTCTTTATAGTATTCACTAGATATAACTATATCATGTTTATCTGTGTCTCATCAAAGTATAAGACAAAATTCATATAAACTGACACCTAATACAGGGGTCGCCAACCCTGGACCCGAATCAGGCCATGCAAGTGAGCCAAACCCCTTCCGCACACGTGTGGGATAAAGGCGGTGTGCAAAACCATGCCATGGAACCGGTCCCTGTTGCCCAAAAGGTTGGAGGCCATTCAGTAGTGGGATTCAAATATGTGAATAACCGGTTCTCTGTGTGGATGCCACTTCTGGAAGTCCATTCTAGGCCTGGGCAACAAAAGGAGTGTCTTAGTCTTATAACACGTTACAGAGAAATCCATCCAGAAAGGTTTAATTAATGCTCTCTCTCTCTCTTCTAAAAACAGTGTTAGTGATCTGTTTGTTTTGTAAAATTGGTCTGCTGGGCTGGGCTTTAGAGAAATCTTAGCTTGGACCAGGATGCGTAATATATTCCTCTGTGCTAGCTGCTACCAATATAAAAAAGCAAGATACCTGGCAGCACTCATGTAGGCAATATCATTGTGTTAAATGACCCATGGTTTAATGGGTATTTCACTGCATTAGCCTTACTTTCTGGTAGTCCCAAAAGAAGAACAATGAAAAAGCAATGGAAGATCCTGGGGTTTTTTTAGAAAAAATATTTTATTAAGAATGTTAATGACAATAGTAAAAACTAATGAAAACTAAATTTAGAGAAAGAAAAGAGAATGAAAAAAAGAATAGAAAATACGTGAAAAAAGAAAAAGAAAGAAGAAAAAGAATATAATAATTTTTTAAAAAAGAAATATGTAATCTCTACTATAACCCATTCCTTATTTATAAGCAAATCTATAAAACATTAAATTTCAATCCTGCGGTCAGCAAAAAGTCCATAAAGGGATGCCAGAATATTGCAAAAATATAAAGTGCTATTTTAACCTTGATAAACTAAACCAACATCATATTCCTTTCTTTTACTTTTAACAGTCTAAATCTTTAATTCAATCAAATACAGTCATAGGATTACATTTCTCTTCAGTTCTTCTTTAGCCCAAATTTCTTGAAGGTTTTAACAAGCTTCTTTTATAGATACAATAAGAAAATATTTTCCAGGTCATTCTCTTGGTTTGTCATTTGTATTTCCCTTTTAATTTTTGAAACTTCATCCAGTTTCTTTTGTATATCTAGTAAAGCATCCTTTCCCAAATTATTCCCTTGTTATTTACATTTGTAATCCCACATTTTGCATTTCTTATATCTGTCAGATAAAAGTTGTTTTACAACTGTCATTCCTTTATTAACTATTTTTAGACAGAGTTCATCTATAAAACTAGACATCATTACTGATAGTGTTGATATTGTAGTTATTATCTTCTGGCTCCATTCTTCAAAACATCTCCTTTAATATTTCTGATGTTGTGACATTTTGTGTCATTTTGTAAATACCAATAATAGCATTTTTTAAAGTTTTGTTTAAAATCTTTAATCCCTTCTAGTGTCCCATTTCTAAAATCATCACTTATATTTCATTATGACTTGCAATAACCAGAACAGCCAACATAAATCTGTTTGCAATAAGAAGTTTATTTTTGTAATTGTCCACAGTCTTATTATAGTAAAAGTCAATATTCCAAATTTATCTGAATCCTTAACCTATTCATAACTTTATTAGATCAAAATCCCATCTACCTGTTGTTCACTGTTTATTTCAATTTTTTTAAAGTTCTTAAGCTTGTAATTTATTTATACAAATTTTATATGCTAATATTGTTAAGTACCAGAAGTATACTAAAAAGATAAAGGCGTATATTGTCTGATTACCTATGTTATTTTAATTTTAAAATTGTAATTAAGAGTCAATTATCAGCTGAAAATTATTGAAAATGAAAGGCAGGACAAATATTTTATATTTTGACAGAAATACAAGCCACATAATTATGGAGCTGCCAACCAAAAATGGAATTTCACAGAAACAAAAGTTTTTAGTGCCTTTTATAGCACAATATTGGATCTAGAAATTACAGCAGCAAACTATGCTTCTATTTGCACATTTACCATAACCAAGACAGAAAAAATTGACCAACCAGTAAGTAAAGAGAAAGAAAAGAAAAATGTAACTCCATTATGATGGGTAATAAAGACATAACTTAACTTATGAAGTATTTTAATATTCTTTTAAAAGTTCTTTCAAAAGTAGCATGATTCATGCCCATTTGTTTATAATGATTACTTAGAGTCCATTCTAGTTCTACATCAGGGGTCTTCAAACTCAGCCCTTTTATGACTCATGGATTTCAACTCCCAGAATTCCTCAGCCAGGCACGGGTGGCTGAAGAATTCTGGGAGTTGAAATCCATGAGTCATAAAAGGGTTGAGTTTGAAGACCCCTGTTCTACATTAATCTGTTTTTCTTTAAAAGCATAAAAATGTTTAAACAGAAATTCAAATGTAAAATGCCTCTTGAAAGCTTTTTAAAACAAAGCAATCATTTCTAAAAATTCTTTTAAAATTCACTTTTGTGAATTTTAATCTTCTAATATACCTTTTAAGATGCATTATATATTTTAACCAAAAAGACAACACAAAATTCAAAGAAGTGGATTGTTATGTTTTCCAATTAAGCTAAGATGGAAATCCAAAAGTTACAGTATCTTTTGTTTCAAAACTATGCAGTTTAAAAATAAAAGTTCTAGTGTCAACTCAGATTATAGAATTTTACACACAATTAAAAAGGGGAAATTGTGAATACTAAATTTGAAATATTTCACATTTAAATAACTATGCAAAAAATAGAAAAATTGTTCTGCAGTATTTAATTTAAAGTATTTTGACCATTTTTTTTTTTAAAAAAAACAGGGCTACTATTTTCTTTCACCTTATGGAAAGAAAAAAATAATGATATGTTTGGCTTGTGGAAGGACCCTGAGAGGAAAGAAAGAACTGAAGAAATTGCTCCCTGGGACTATATTTTCCTGTGCCTCTGGGTTCCAGGACAGAAATAATTTACCCTTTTGCCCTTTTAAATGCCTTGATGTTAATAAGGTGAGTTAAGCTTTTCACATATGTACACTGGAGATAAACAAATAACTCGCCATATTATAACTTTATCTTTTAGATGGTTTGTAAATAGTGAAGTATTTGTATTTGAACAACATTATAAAAAAATAAAAATTAAATACCATTTCTTTCTGGCTTTAGTAGTGACTATTTGCTTTAGGCTAGGTTTGAATCCAAACCATCATCACAAGTTTTGTCTTTATTTTTTTAAAAAAGATAATGCTATTTATGCTAGAGAACATGTTGATTTTAAGCAGTATTTTAAAGATTTTAGTGCTGAACTCTGATTTTGAAAATGCTGAAATGAGTTGAAATCATGCTTGGATCAATTCTGACCTTAACCTTAATCATAATAATTGTGAGGCAGGCCACAATTGTTCTCAATTCCACTTGTGAATTGAGAACAATTGTAGCCTGCCTTACAATTATTATGAATTAATCTTTATGTAGAAGAACAGGAAGTGTGACTAATTATCTTTTATCTTGTACTTACATATATATCTGTTAAATGATTGTCATTTATTGTAGCATGATTCAGAAGGGAACTGAGTTAAGCAAAAAATAACCTCTCCCCCTGCAGCTTACCATTCCATTATTTTTTTTTTAAAAAAAAGACCTATAGTTAAGAGTATAACCCCTTGGGATGCAGAAAACCCTGATTGCCACTACAGTAGATACTATTATAGTAGCTACAAACATAGTCCATTCAGCAGCTATAAGAAATAATCGAACTTGGATATAATTATATACCTTGAGAAACTGCCATGGGTATATTCACTAGGTACATGGTAGAAAAGTCAGCAGTTTTTTTCTAGCTGTACGTTTTATTTGGGAAAGAAGGATTTGAAATCCGAGTACTATAATGTAGAAGCAATTTTCTTTTGAAAAGGATTGTGTAAAAGATTTGAGTAGGTGGGTACTCTTAAACATCTGGGAAGATTAGCAATTAACATTAGTTCAGGAGTTTCTATTCAATTTAAAAAAAAGCAGTCCATTCACTTCCTGTTTTACTTAATGGCATTTGAGAAAATAGCAGCTAAAAATTGATTTTCTACTACTTTCTTTGATGCATATAGTATGTCTTAACTTGTATGATTTAGTTATATCATTTTTTGCAGTAATCTATCATGTAGTTATGCATCAAGGGTGGTTAAACTAACCATTTTAAATATATAACTTCTGGCAATGTTTTTATAAAAATTCAATTCTGAATCCTCTGTAATTGGTATGTGTGTAAAGGGATATTTGCCTTGGTTTTTTTTGTCTGTCTTGTATTTTCTCCACTTTGTCATAAAAATATAATGTTTGAAATTCAAATTTAAATTTTTATTCAGTTTGGTTACCTTTTAAAAAGTAACTTCACTAAGATTACAATAAAACTGAAGTAATGCTAACATTTTGTTTTATCGTGGAGATTGAATTATTCTCTGACAAAGCTGAATCCACCCTGCATTATTTCGAAGAAGTTCTAGCATCCTTAAAGAATGAAACCTCCTTGCAAGTCATCTCAGAAAAGATATCTGCAGCTCTAGACCAAAAAACAGTAAAAATAATTGCATACAAAAATGGAGATGGATACCGAAATGGGCAACTAATTGTTGCTCACACATTCCCGAGGGTAAGTAACAATAACCCAAAGAGGGAATTGTAATTGAATTGATGAGGACAAACGGTGTGTCTGAGAGAGTAAGATTAAAAAAGTATATTACCAGTTTGTACATGCTGGGGGGGGGGGGATTCTAATGCTGTAAATCTACAAGCCTGGAGATGTCAGGTCAAATCCAGGGTATGGAAGAACTGCTATGGATCTCTAGCATAACCAAACAGCATTGGAGGAAGGAAGAGCTGTCTCATTGCAGGCAACATATTAAAAGTAATATTTCTACAATTTACTAAGAATTAATAATCTCATGTTTGTACATTTACCCTCTCTTGTTTTCAAATGTTTCCCTGAATAGCAATAGAGGGCTTGTTTCTCTTGATGAAAAAAAAAGGTGTTGAAGGCTTTTGATGTTACATGAATGTATAAATTTAATTATAAATATGCAGAGTGATCACTGTGAAGCTGCAAGCATTTGCAGGCAGTACATGTCTTGAAAACCAGAGATTTATACATTAAGTGGGAAATCCAGTGAAGATTTAGGAAAGGAAAATTATATTAGGGGCTATTTAGTCATGCAAACAAAATTGATATATGATCTCCAGAATCTTAAAGGAAGAGTGGAATGCAAATGTAATATAGCAACCTTGTTAGAAAAATATCAAAATGAGAATTACAATATGGTAATTTATTTTTGTATGTTGTTAATTATGAAATATATACATATACACACATATATTTTCCTTTATGTAGTTGCTTTCATTATGTACAAGACGTCTTGAACTTAGTAGGACAGCTTGCAAGCTATATAACAGTGAAGGGACCCTGATCCTGACAGTGCAGGATTTAGTCTTGTGCGCAGCAAATGATTACCTCAAAAAACAGGAAACTGAAGAAAGAAATGAAGAAGCCATTTCTGATACTGGCCTTAAACAAATTGCATCTGTGTTTTCAAGGAAAGGTAAAATGTGACTTTCCATATCTTGCCTATTAAAAGCATCTGCAACCGGTAATTAACCAGCAAAATGAATCCTTTTTTGGGGGAAAATATATGGAACAGTTTTCTGACATCCTGCCCAAAAGTCTCTGATTTATTTATTTATTTATTTAAAAAACTCATTGTTAGTTTGCTTTGGTTTAGTTTTAGATGTTTATGAGTTTGCCATTTTTACCTTACTTTTCACAGTGCATCTTTAGTCTTTTATTTCAGAAGTATTGTGCACAGTTTTGAGAGCATTTAGCAAAAAGGATAGTGTAGGCAAATAAAAAGTTTGTCTATATTTCAGCTTATGTATAAGCAGACTTTGACTTGATTCTTTGAAGTGTATCTTAAATAGATGTGTGGGCTCTTTATTTGCTCAGGGGTGTCAAACTTGCAATGTCACATGATGTGTCGCAACGTATTGTGACTTTTTTGCCATTGCCGGCAATAGGGTGGGCATGGTTTCACTAAGATGCATCTGGCCCATGGGCCAGCAGTTTGACACCCCTGCCTCTAGAGCAAAATGATATTGGTGTGGGAGGTGGGTGGGTTTGCTGTTTTATTTACTCTGATTTTATTTTGTTGGTTTAAGCAAATAACTCATTTAACTCCATATTCTGTGTACGCTGGTGGTCAATCATATGCATTCATAAAGCTCATAAAGACAGACAGGAGAAATCCAAGATGTTGTAGTCTTTTTTCATGGAAAATATTATAGATCTCTAATCATTTTGAGTGACCTTTTCTGTACCTTCTCTACTTCTTTGCAGTTACATCATTTTTGAAATGTGGTGGCATTACTTAACCGGTAGTTTTATTTTAAATTTCCTTCCTAATTATCCTAAGCATGGAATTTGCCCTTTTATAATAGCTACATAACTGAACTGTCCACAAAAATGCCATGATTCTTTTTTGAGCCAATTCAGGTCTCGCGAATGTTTATGTGAAGTTCTGCTTATTTTATACCAATGCACATCCTGTGCATTTGCCATTTGAAACCCACTTAGAGATAGTAATAGTAGTAAAGTTGGAAGGGACCTTGGAGGTCATCTAGTCCAACCCTCTGCTCAGGCAGGAAACCCTTCATTTTGAAGGTCTTTGCAATCCATTTTAAAAATTGTATTACCTTGACAAATTTGATGACATCAGTAAATTGGAAAACCTTACCCCTAAATCCAGATTGTTTATTAATCAATTAAAAGTATCACTCTTTTTACTTAAATTAATCTGTAGCAACACTTTGCTTTAAATATCTCTCCTGTTTAAAAATTATTCAATTGTTCATCTTTTTTTTCTTAATCATTAGCCAGTTACCAGTCCATGACATGACAAGTGCTCGTCCTCTAAGTTGATTTTAAAAAATGGTGAGGTAGTTTGTGAAAAGCTTTTTGAAGTAGAGTTTTTAGATTTAAAAAATGTGGAAGATTACTGAAACAAAATGCATATCAACATCTAGCTCAAGAATTTCAAATAAAACTCCAGATTCATTCCACCTCTGAAAATCTTACTGTTTATTAGATACACTGCATGGTAAAACTAAATCTGAGGTTCCAACAACAATTCATACACTTAAACAATCATTTTCCCAACCAAACCCCCAGGGTGTTATATAGTCCATATAACAAGTTCACTTTTTTATGGGAAACATCTGCTTCAAATCCACACCTGTTATGGTGTCCTTCAAAAGGTTTCAGGCTTTCAAGGTCTTCAACAGTATCTTGAAGTTTCGTTTCTCCATCTAACCCACTCGAAAGTAACACCTCCCCTACTTATTGTAAAGGCAGGTTTTTATGTATTGGGGATTCAGGCAACATCCTGTGTTGGCTGGGGACTCTGGTACTTTTCTGAAGCAATTCTTCTCGAGGTTGGACCTTCTGGTGACCCAAATAGATGGAGGCAATGTGGCCTTGCCTGCCACATGCGCAGCAAATGGCGGAGCGGAATCTGCAGTCAGCTCGCTTGTGGCATCTTCCACACTCGAAGCACTGAGGAGATGCTGGGGCCTTGTCTGGACGCTCCTTTGGTCTTCTCTCTGCTGGCTGGTGAAATCTGTCCACCTCCTCTTCAGGATCCGATTCTGGAGCTTCTTGAACAACCTCTTGATGGACTGTCATGGTGGCTGGAGGATTTCTGGTGAGCCGCAAAGCCTTCACAGCGCCGCCTGCTGCTTCTTCAGCTGAAACTTCTCTTAAGTCATCTTGGAACCACACTTCTTCTTTGGCGAAGATCTTCTGTTGCAATTCTCTACTTCATAGGCCACAAACGAAACAATCTCGCAGCCTCTCTTCCAGGTCCTTGAACTCACAAGGTCTGGCTCCTTGTCTTAAGGCAGCGATGAAGACCACAGCAGATTCACCCGGCCTCTGGTCTCTCTGCTCGAATGCATGCCTCCAAGTGATTACAGAAAGTTTAGGCTGGAAATGTTCTTTAAGCATCTTCTTCAAGTCAGCATACCTTACTGACTCCAGAAGTGCAGGGTCCACCAGGTTCTCAACAATGTTGAACATTTCCTGGCACAGACGCACAGAAGTGTTGCCGCTTTAAGGCCGTCTTCCCTGATTTGATTAACTCTCAAGTAGTTCTCCACCCTTGCTACATACAAATTCCAACATTCTGGGTGGGAGACATCAAAGTCCGTCAAGTGACCAATTTTCGACATCGTAAACTTTTACTGCCTTTGCTAATTGCCTCTTCTGCAAGCTAGTAGTTGGGGAAAGGGTCCGTTTGCTGAGCTCACCTCCAGCGATGCTGTACTGGCAGGCTGAGTCGCAAATGCAGGACGCTGTCTTCCCAGTCTTCAGGACTTTCTCAGTGAATCCTATTTTTTTCTCTTGCTTACAGGGATCCCACTTTCGTCACCAGTTTTATGTATTGGGGATTCAGGCATCACACGAAGGCACATTGTGAACAACAAGCTTCTTTATTGATCTTCTCTTTACAACCAGCAAAACAGCAAAAGGCACGTAGGCCTTTTATAGTGTCCTGAACCTGGACAACAACAACCAATAGGAATCTGGCTATTTCGTGCCTTGCACATGCGCACAAGGCTGGCGCCAGCTAGTCTGGTCCCGGGCAGCTTTTGGTTTGCCTGGGAATGTTTGCAACATTTCTGAGCCTGCTGAATACTTCAGCAGGCTCAGGACACAACACAACACAAGTTGAAACGTAGAGGCACGTAGCTGCCAAAGTTTTGTCCTTGACAATGTATTGTTGCATAAATCTTATTAGTATCTTTTCAAAAAAGTATTTGTATGTTTGATCATATTCTTTAATAAAACATTGTACTATTTAACAGAATGGGCATTAAAGTAATGGGACATAAATCCCTATGTATTTTAGAACTTGAAGCAACTGTAGTTACTTGTAGTTTTCAGATACACTCAGAAACAGATGCTGATTTTAAAACTAAGTTGCATATTTTTCTTGGAAGCAATTTCGCATTTATAATCATCAAATGTATACCATCTGGGCCCAGCTATTTGTTTATTTTTAATTCATCCATTTCTTACTCTTGCTCCTTCTGTCTGTTCATCGAACCCTTCTTGAAAAAAGAGCTAAGGCATAGACATCTATCTTATTTTATCAATGAAGACAGAAGCAACAAATTAAGTTTTTCTGCAGTTTTCCTTTCCTCCTTTATGTCAACCAGCAGCTTTTTGCACTGTTTTATGCGAGGGTGCTCTTTCTGTTTTTTTAAAATTGAGTGAGACCATCTTGCTATCATTTTTGCTATATTGCTAGCACTTCTTTAAGCAGACTTAACAAAAGAGCTTTAAGAGATCTTTATAATAGATTTAACAGCAGATTCAATGTCTACAGAGGCCTTTATCTGGACTGATAGCTACTGCTTAATTCAGTTTCTACAGCACTCCTCAGATTATCAATTCAGACTAATTCCATATCCTCCCATGCAATACATTGATCCTGGAGGTGATATGTTATTCCCATCTAAACATAATGTTGTTTGGTTCCTATTTTTTTCTGGCCATTTCCACTATGTTAGAACATTTTCTCAACACTGTATATGTTAACAGGATCTTGGCCATGCATATTGCTGTGGCAGCCTTGATTAATCAAGATGTCTATGGAAGAAGGGCTTTCTGCCAAAGATATTTCTCAGCAATAGCCGTGTGCCAAAGTGGATTCTGTATACACAGAAAACTGTTTCTGCGTATATACAAATATGTAATTGACAATTTGGAGAACCACAATTACAGATTAACAGCCTGTAGTAGAAGATGAAGATCAGTTAGTTGCTAATATGTATAGATTGTCGGAATACTCTTAATTGTAGGGCAACAGATAAATTCTGAAAAAGAATTATTCTCTCTCTCTTTCATCTATTGTAGGGAATCATACTTGCAACAAGTATTGAAGTTCACAGTTGCACCTTTTATTTTTAATGGAGAAACACACATATTTATAACAATGGAGAAAATCAGCTTTGTTAATTTGTCAAATTTTTGAAACATATCAATTATTGTAGTTGTTATAATACTACTAAGAGAGGGTGAAGGGGTGCTGGGAAGTTAAGTGGTTAGCCAAACAAACAATATAACTGGACAATGCTTTAAGGTTCCATTAAGGAGAAATTTCCTGACAGTGAGAACAATTAAATGGAGTGAATGCTCCAACACTGGAAGTTTTTAAGAAGAGATTGGACGACCATTTGTCTGAAATGATATAGGGTTTCCTGCCTGAGCATGGGGTTGGACTAGAAGACCTCCAAGGTCCCTTCCAACTTGATTATTCTGTTCTGTTTTTTGCTTGAACAATGCTGAAGCACTCTGTAAAGGTGCTTAGAATGAAATATTGCAACCTAGTGCAATGAAATAGTGCAAGAAGCTTGTTGGATAAGAAGCGAAACATTTTCTTCTTCCTCAAGGAAAAAATAGTCTAGTTGCCTTTTGAAGAAAGAAAAGCACCTTTGAGACTTTAGCTAATCAGGATCAAACTACTAGCTGTGGGCAAGTTAGCCTGCAATACTGCATTCTAACTACTGCACCACCACTGCTCCTAATTCCTTAGCAAAAAATGTTTTAGTGTTTAAATGCTTAGTATTGTTGGAAACTCAGAATATTTTTGGGTGTATATATGTTTAATGCCAAAATGGCAAGGTCATAGACAACCAGAATTTGATACCACAGATGGGCAGACTTTGGGTGTCCCATGCATTTATGAGAAGAAAGGGATGGGTTCCCTAAAGTAGTTCTTCTCCATGGTAGCCCTCACATCATAGAATAGTCTCTCCCCCCCCCCCCAGATTCATATTGTTCCCACATTGGAATCTTTCGTGAAGACTATGAAGATGGAATTCTTCCTCTAATAATTTTATTAATAATTTGGGTACTGCCATGGATTTGGTAGTGCATTTTACCTATATTTTATGTTTTTTTTTATTTTGGTATGTGGTTATACATTGAAAAACTTTGAAAGTCAACTTGATGCCAGCAGTAAATAAATTCAACAAGTATAGAATTAGAAAATTGCACACTTTAAGAAAACTGTAAAATAAAACAGAATTCTCATGAAATCTTTCTTTCTCTCTTTACACCAAGATAAGAATAAGAACATCAAATTTACATCATCCGAGATAACATCAGATATTGATCATTTGGTGCTCAGCAGCATTCTTAAAAATCCAGTTGAGGTCTGGGTTTCCAGTGGAGAACCTTTTCTACCTTTGGATAGTAAGTCATTAAACAAAAAAGGAAATGTTATAAGAGCCTGACATGTCTATCTGTTTTCCTCTAAATGGTTGATATCCTGCCCGTCAAATTACACATTCATTTTCATAATTCAGTGAAGAACGTAAATGTTCAAAAACATAAATTTGTATATAATTCATCTCTAGAGTATAGAAACAAAATACTAAATATACTTTGCGAAATAATAGATTATTATCAGTGGAAAAATTGATAATAATCAGGATATTTTTTATTTATTTTTGTCATCTCATTCCTGAACATTCTTCAACTATTTATCATATTTATTCAATAGATGGATGAGTATGGATTTTAAGATAAATCCCATACAAAAAAGGAACTTAGGCAGAAAAGAATTTATGAAACACAAAAAGTTAGGTTACTACCCAGCTTCTCTACCTTGCTCACAAGAATGCTAAATCTCAGTTGAAGATTTTCTTAAATATGTATCTGTGATATGAATAAGTAGCATTTTATGTGGTATATGCACATACATATATGTACACATGAACAGACACATGTATACATACACATACATATACATCATACAGTCAAGAAGCATCACAAAAAGGCAGCTTAGACAAAAAGATAATATTAAATTAATAAGTACTAATTCAACTTAATTAGCTATTCACACAAAAATTATTAACTATTGTCTTATATGTATGCTGAAATATACAGACTTAGATTCTGCAGAAATCTGAGCTCTGCAAACATAAATCTATAAATTCTGATTCTTTAGGATTGAATCAGTTTTACTGTCACCTGTAAATATGTGCTGCTATAATGGAGCATGTAAATTGCTTTGGACACTAGGAAAGATAACTTTCCCTCCCTTGTTTTTATACACATGTGTGTATGTGAAAGATCCAATCATCTTTCCAGACCTTTAGATGCAAAATCATTTTTGGGGGAAAAAACTGTACCAAAAACTATATTTTTTTCATTACAGCTTTGCAAAACACAGAAAGGCAAATAAAACAGAAATGGCTAGAAAAAGATAAAATTCTGGCAGACCTTAATGCAATGAAACACAAAATGAGACAACTGCAAGGTCAGTATAGTGAAAGTTGATTTCATTGTAATTACATTATTTTTGTTGTTGTTGTTAATTGCGAAGTCGTGTCCGACCCATCGTGACCCCATGGACATTATTTTTAATAGTATAATATTAACATGAGACAACAACTTTTAATATTGGTCCACGTATCAAAAACTTCTTGTTGACATTTTTCAAATTGACATACTTTGTAATAAAGATACCAATGTTCTCAATTTATGGTATTATATTAACATTAATGAAAACTCACCCTTCTCTCAGTTTATGGTATTATATTAATGTTATTGAAAACACATCCTTCCTACTATTACACAAGGACTATCCAGCATGACTGGTATGCAAGGTTTTTTAACTAATAATTTTTGAGCTCCACATCTCAGAGCAAATATGGACCTCAAAATTGCAACCACAGATCCTACAGAGAACAGCTTTAGATTTTATTAAGGAATAATACAGTGCAATCATGTTAATGTGAAAATAGTAATTATTGGATTATTGCCATTTGTTCCACTGAATTAAAATTCTTTCCCATTTTTTAAAAAAGTACTCTAAAACAATTCTTATTTTAGGTCGTCGTATAACAAAATATAAAGCTGCTGATTTGGTGCCCACTAAGAGCCCTTTCCAGCCTGTGGTAGTAGAAGGAGGCTGGACAGAAGAAACTCAAGAAGAGATGAAGCTCATGGAAACTATACAACATACAGAGGTGTGAATGTATACTTTGTGCTACCTGATTTCCTGAAAAATGAACTCTTTAGATCTAAATGCTTTAGAAAAATATTTGTGACCTGCTGACCCAAGAAATGGTCTGAACTATGACTTCCTTGTCATAGTGAGAGAGATATATGATTAATTTACATTATGTAGGATTGATCTCGGAAGCAAAATTTATTCTTTTTTCTTGTTTCTTATCTAAACATTTTAGCTACATGTTTCACATTCCCTTAATCCACATATTATTCTTGAGAAAAAGGAATGTGGTAGTCCCTCCCCTGAGACTGCAGTTTTCTCATTTTGGAATAAATTTTAGTTTATAAATGAAAGCACTATGTTTCAAACAACTATTTCCATTAAATCTTTAATAAATAATCACTATGAAGGAATTGGGAAAAGAGCTGTACAGTATGTTGTATTTTTTAGAAGCACTGTAAAGTACAGAACTATAAATATAACTTCTTATAAACTCTGTTTAATAATAATCTTTTGTGTCAATAAGCATATTTGAAAGTTGTGGGTGGTCTCACAAAATGATTGCATGAAGGAGGCTGTCATTGTGGGCATGACCAGTTACCAAACATGAATTGTTCCTTGTCATATTTTCTTGTTCCCAGCCAGTTCTTGCCAAATAGGGGGACATATATCCAAATAGACCACAATCATGGACAAGGTTGGACTGATACTGCCCTCCACCTCACTTCCAAGTGTGAGAGGTCTGAAGATGAGGATCCAGATCTTTTTGAGCTATCAGATTCAAAAGAGCTTAATGGTTAATGTTCAAACAAGTTTAAACATTAGGCTGCTAATAATCTCTAATCAGTTGTATAAATACACAGTATCAAAGTAACATAATGTCTTATGTATGTCTTATAGCAATATAAAATATTTTTTAAAAATCAGAACGAATGGAAGGTATTACAGTCCAGAACCTTGCATAACCCACAAATGTGGCTGTTTAGACACTCACTAGATCAGTGATGGCGAACCTTTTAGAGACCGAGTGCCCAAACTGCAACCCAAAACCCACTTATGTATCATCAGGTGCCGGGTGGGCATGGCCCATTGGGTGGGTGTGGCCAATTGGGTGGGCGTGGCTGCGGTGGTAACGGCAGACTGGGTGGGACTAAAAAGTTCAATCAATCAATTCCAACTTTGCAAGATCTTTTTTTTCCCTCGAGAAGTTGAAATTGATTGATTGAACCTTTTTTTTTGCACACGGCGGCAGAGGCCTAAAGTGAAAAGGTTTTAAAAAACCCAGCTGAAGGCGCACATGCCCACAGAGAGGGCTCTGCGTGCCACCTGTGGCATGCATGCCATAGGTTTGCCACCACGGCACTAGATGCTCTAAAGAATGTATAGGACAGCTTTAATGAGCCATTGTTTATTGGAACCACCAAATGTGCACATCATATAAGCTTCCATACTTTGATGTCTGCGGGAAAGCGGGTGATATACATAATGCATACATATGTTATGGTGTCATGATGAAAACCCCACGCTTTTTGTATTTGCGTTGCATTGTTGCAGGCACACATTTTGCCATTTGGATGAAATCTTGGTTTGCTGCAGATGTCATGACTCCAGATTTTTTTTTCTCTGACCCACATTTGTCTTCAGATCTTCACATGGAAGATTCAATTTCTGTTTGGCTTCGGTGAATAAAAAGTGTTCAGGACAACCTCCCACCCAAAAATTGAGATAATGCCTTAAACCAGTGGTAGCGAACCTATGGCACGAGTGCCAGAGGTGACACTCAGAGCCCTCTGTGGGCACGCATGCAATGCCCCGGAGATGGCAAGTATCCCTCTTCAACCAGCTACCTGCTAACTTGCCAAGGTCCCACATGGTCGGATGCATCCCAGCATGGCTGGTTTCCCTCCCTCCCATCCCGTCCCATTCTTCCTGGTCTTGCATGCTCTCCTTGCACGACCCACTGCATCACTTCCTCAGCTGTCAGCCAACCATTCAGCTCAGAGGCTGCTTCTTTGAACTGCTGGCAGTGGGCTGCAGAGCCCCAGAGTGTGCCAGTCGAGGAGCTGGCAGTCTGTGGCTGCTGACGGACACTGTCGGCCCCCATTTACTCTCTGGCCTCTGTGTGTGAGGGTCAATGGTGTCAGGCAGCAGCTGCTCCAGCCCTTGCCTTGCCCCATGGCAATGGTACCCCAACCCTGCCTCATTTCACTCTGCAGGATGAGCCTCCTGCCCATCGCCCCACCTGCCAGAGACCCCCTGGATCTCCCCCAACCCTGCCCACCCCCCACAGGTATCCCTCCCCACGAGCAACACCTTGGCCACATCCACCCAATCTGCCATGGCCACCACAGCCACGCCCACCCAGTGGGCCACACCCACCTGGCATCCAGCAATAAATAAGTGGGTTTTGGGTTGCAGTTTGGACACTCGGTCTCTAAAAGGTTTGCCATCACTGCCTTAAGCCATTGTTGCTTAAATAGAAGGATAAATATCAGTGTTCATAATTCTAATGTAACATATTTTGTTGCATTATATACATTTCGTGTAGCTTTACAAAATATAAACCACCATACAGAGTCAACCATTGATTTGAACTCCATGACTGTGATTATGTTTCACACTAGATGCACCTTTCAGAGCTCGAAGCACTGCAGTTCCAAAGAAGTTCTCCCTTTTCTCCTAAATTACTTGCAAAAAATGACAAGTGTCTCTACAAGCAGCCCACAACCAAAAGAGTCTGGGCTTACCTAAACGGAAATATACCTGACAAGGGAGCACACGTGTGGGGAAAATCTATGATAGAGGTAAAGCAAGAAACCTTTATTTTAAATGAATAAAGTAAGGAAATAAATATTGGGGATTGCTCCTTTAAATAAAATGTCATACAAAACAAAAAAACATCTTCACTGCTACATCATAGTAGCGAATATACATCAATATCTTACAAGATAACTCTATCATGCTCACCGTATCACTGTTTTTCTTTTGCGTAAAACAAAAGTGGAGATAGACAATGGATGCTTAAGAACAAATTTTCACTATTGATCATGCTGGCTAGACACTGAGAGATGCATTTCATCAACTTATGAAATTTCTGTGCTGATTTCTGTGCTTATACAATTGTACAGGTAGTCCTCAACCTACAACCATTTGGTTAGCGAACATCCATAGTTGCAATGGCACTGAAAAAATTGGTGTATGACCGAATGTCTATGGAGATTCTCAGTCATCCAGATCATGATTGTTCCAAAGCACCTTTGGGTGACTTGCGACCATTTTTCAGACTTACAACTATTGCAGCATCCCCATGGTCACGTGATTAAAATTTAGATGCTTGGCAACTAGCATGTATTTATAATGGTTGCTGTTTCCAAAGGTCATGTGATCGCCTTTTTCAACCCTCTGACAAGCAAAGTCAATGGGGATGTCAGATTCACTTTACATGTCACTAACTTAACTGCAATGATTCACTTAACAACTGTGGCAAGAAAGGTCATAAAATGGGACAAAACTCAATTGTTTTGCTTAGCAATGGCAATTTTGGGATCAGTTGTGGTCATACATCGAGGACTACTTGTACAACTTGTTGTATAAGTTGTATAAATGTAGACAAAAATTGTATAATTTTTGTACTTATGGACTATGTACTGTACTTGAAGTTACTCTGTGTCAATTTAGATAATTTTCTGTATTTCTTACATTCCTCACATGTGTACAATCCGATTTCCCCTTAAAACACAAATAAAAAAAAAATCAAACACTTGATCAGCCTTTGATCATATTGCATGAACAAAAGAGTAGTTTAAAGGGAATTAGGAGTAACAAATTAATTTTGATTGTGAAGAATTCCAGGTTAGTTGTTCCTTGCAGTATAAATTTCATGGAATGAGTTTCTGACAGTAGACATGGAGGCTTTAATGACTTGTGAACAAGTATTGTTTGCACTTCTATATTTTAATCTGAAGCACTGCACGGTCCTAAAGTAAATAAACAAATACACATATACACACTGATATGCACATACATAAATGCTTATATTCTCATTTCTTTTTGATATAAGCAAAAGCATCACATTGCACCCGTGTCAGAAGCATTAAGACACTTTCGGGTTGAAAGGATTAGCCGGTGACATTACCATTGCCTGGGGGGACACCCAGTTGGGGGCTCCTAACAGGAGCTGGAACAAAGAACGGGAGCTCACTCTACCCCACGGTAGCAGTTGTGTCTCAAACACGGGCTTGCTAACCTCCAACCCAGCATCCTAACCATTCGAGCCATTGTGCCCCTTTAAGCAAAAGCATAATCTTATGCAAAGCAAAAGATTAATAAGTATTAAAGAGAAAAAATTAAAAGGAGATAAGAGAAAAGAAAACTATCCATGAACACCAACACCATTCATTATACTTCTCCGTCCTTGTTTGTGCAAGCAGTCCCCTTTTTTTCTGTCAGGTTTACTATAATGTCCAAGTATAATCTTGACAACTTTATACCAATGTAATTGTTTTTAACTTAGTTGTAAGTTATGGCTGAAAAAAAATCAACAATTGTGCAACTAATTCCATATAAATGTTTTACAGCTGGGGTGTCTCTGCTTTGGCTGATAATTTGAAAACTGTACATTCTGACTTACTGTCAAAGAGACTTCTGAATAGTAATGCAGTTTTAATATTTCAGCTACTTGACAGTTGTACAACTCATCTAAAAATGTCTCAGCCTGCAAAAATATTATATACACCTGATGGACACCAGCTGCAATCATGGGAAGAAATAGAAAGAGACATGATTGTTTGTGTTTCGGCAGGACATGCCTTTATGAGCCAAAAAGGTAGTTTACTTAAATGTTAAAAGGACCATTTGTTTGTCAGAGGTCTTTACAATAGAAAAGGGGACTAGACAGGGATGTCCATTGTCACCTTTGCTGTTTGTTTTAACTTTGGAAATATTGCTGATTAAAATTCGAGAATCACAGCAAATAAAAGGAATAGAAGTTAATAAAAAAGAATATAAACTAAGAGCTTTTGCAGATGACTTGGTGGTTACCCTGTCCCAACCTACTCACTCTGTAATAGAGCTATTACAATTGATATACCAATATGGATGGGTTTCGGGTTTTAAAATTAATAACAATAAGACCAAAATATTACCTAAAAATATGACTAATATGGATAAGCAGACTTTGGTTAATTTGACAGATTTTGAGGTCGTTGATAAGGTAAAATATCTGGGGGTTACTTTATCTGTCTCTAATGTAAAATTGTATAAAAATAATTATGAAAGGTTGTGGGTCAGGATACAAAGAGACTTGAAAAATTGGGAGAAGTTGCAATTATCTCTTTTGGGAAGAATTACGGTGATTAAAATGAATGTCCTGCCTAAGTTCCTTTTCTTATTTCAAATGATACCTATTTTAAAGAATGAGGTCAATTTAAATGAATGGCAGAAAGGTATCAATAAATTTATTTGGGCAGGGAAAAAACCAAGAGTAAAGCTTAAAATTATACAAGACATTCGTGAGAGAGGTGGACTCAAGGTACCGAATTTGAAATTGTATTATGACGCTGTGGTCTTAACATTAATTAGTGATTGGGTTAATTTAACAAATGTAGAAATACTCCTCTTGGAGGGTTGGGATTTACTTTTTGGATGGCATGCCTATTTAATTTTTAATAAAAAAGTTGACTGGGTTTTTAAATCTCATAAGGATTTCTTTACTGCGGGTTTGGAGGAAATATCACAGAAGTGATTCTAAAATACCATTATGGGCTATACCTTGGCATGCGATAGAGGGGATAAGGAGAGGAGTCAAGATGGATAGTGTTTCTTATGCACAATTGCTTAGATGGGATGGTAAAATTTGGCAGTTAAAATCTTTGGAAGATTTAGCACAAGAAAATATTATATATTCATGGTTTCAGTACAGACAAATAGCGGACAGATGGAAGATAGATTGTAATGTGGGCTTGCTTAGAGAAGATGAAAATTTTGTTAAACAAGTAAAAGATCAAAGACGAACTCATATTAAGAGAATTTATGGGTTGCTAGTAGAATTGGACTCAGAACCAGAATTAATTAAAGAATGTATGATTAAATGGGCACAAAATTTTGGTGAACCAGTTCTACTAGATACCTGGGAAATTATCTGGGTGAGAAATGTTAAATTTACACAAGCCCAGAACTTAAGGGAGAACTTTTATAAAATGTTTTGTAGATGGCACCTTGATCCACAAAAAATGTCTTGTATGTATCCTGACTTACAGCCCAAATGTTGGAGATGTGGTTGTTTGGACGCTACTTATTACCATATTTGGTGGTCGTGTAAAAATATAAAAGCCTTTTGGATTAAGATATGGTGGAATATTCAAAGAATTTTTAGAAGGAGGGTAAAATTTACTCCACAATTGTTTTTGCTAGGTATTGTTACTGATTGTGATACTAAGGAGGTTGTAGTGATGTTAAATTTAATTACAGCCACAAGGTTGTTAGTAAGGCAATATTGGAAGAAGGAATCTTTGCCTACTTTGCAAGAGTGGTTTTCTAAAGTATCCTATCTGGCGGAAATGGCAAAGATTTCGGTATGGGAAAAATGGATAGATTTTATACAACATAAGTTGGATATAAAAAAATATTATTTAGTTTTTCAATAACTTATATATAAATTTTAATATTGTATAGATTGTAATATTTTTTCTTTCTTTTTATATTTTTTATTATTATTTTACTTTCTTATATTTCCTTTCTTCTTTCTTTCTCTTTATTTTTTTTCTTTTTAAGTATTTTTTTTCCTTTCTTTAATATTTATGTTTATATATATATATATATATATTATTGTTAATTATTTTATTAGTTGTTTAAGTAATGTATTTAGATTTATCTATGGTTTATACTTTTTTTTAAGAATTCAAGAAACTTTAATTAAGCCTATATTCAGCTCTGGGAAGGCTGAGGGAGGGAATGGGAGGGTTGGGGTGGGTGGGGAGGGTTGTTTTTCTTGTAAAAATTTTAAAAAAATTCAATAAAAAAAAAAGGACCATTGGAATTTCTTGGCAATTTTCTACATAATTAAAGTGTCATAATCATGAGATTGCTTGTAATTTTTAAACGTGGGTTTGCATATCATATTTATGGGTAGGAATACTGCTCATAATTAGGTTTTTCTTCTCCTTCTAATCTAAGAGCCATGTCTGAATCTGGCTTGGCTTCTGGAAGTTTAAGTGGAAGATTTCTAAATAATGCTCAAATTTACAGGAGACAAACAGATGTAGTTATAACTATATAAAACAACCTTAAATTAAAATTAACTATACTTTTTCATGTTTTAAGACATAATTAGAGAAATCAGTTTCATTCGTTATATATACTTTTTTTTTTTCAGCTGTAAAGCATGAAATAGAAATTAGAGCTCATTATGCAAGAATTCGGAAGCAGCAAGGTCCGGAATCTACCAATATTGTTGTCTCACCATCAACAAGAGTTATAGACAAGGTTGTATCACATACAATTTTATATGATTGTATCATGTACAATTGTATAACAGTAATAATAATAATAATAATAATAATAATAATAATAATAATAATAATAATAAACCCTTGTCAACCATCAGCGTCAGCCAATTTGAATATTCAGTTGACTGAGGTTCATGTTTAATGAATAAAAGATAATAATAATAATGTTGGAAGGGACCTTGGAGGTCATCCAGTCCAACCCCCTGCTCAGGCATATAACATTATAGCATATATTATATGCTATATCATTAATTATAAATTATTTTTTCCTGCTGCTCTTGTGAGGTAAGATTTAACTGAGTTAGATGGCTTCTGTTAGGGCTCAGAATCCATAGCCATCATTATGACAAGGAAACTTTTACTAAGAGCATTTCAGATTCAAATGAACCCTAACTTAATTCAGTATAAAACTGATTTAAGCAAGGAATGCCTGGTGGTGGGGCTCCAAAGAAGATCCTTTTCTGCCCTGGACCTTGTCCTCTGGAACATCATCCCACCTGAGATTACATTGACTCCCATTCTGCTGACCTTCTGTAAGGCTTTGAAGACCTAGCCCTGTGCCCGAGCCTGGGGCCGAGGTGGGGCCATGCTATGATTCACCAGCTGTTTAATATTTTATTTCTTGTTTTATTTGAGTATTTTATATCTTTTGTTTTAATGTCGTAAGTTGCATAGTATCAGGTACTTGAGATGTGTGGCCTTATCAACTGAATAAATAAATGAAATGAATTTCCTTAAATTATTTTTATAATTCCTTCAGTAATATTTAACAATATGTAACACACTGAAATACGAGGAGATATGAGCTAGTGCCATTTCTGGATCCAGGCTTTTTGCAATTACCCATGGAAGCAGGTTTCGGGTGCTTTAAAAATAAATGGAAGTGTAAGAACCAGCACCAGAGCACAAAACCTATTTGTGCTCTGAAATTTTATTGGAATTATTTAATCCCCAAAAATTTTTTTCAACAAAAGGCAGCATTTAGGTATGGACAATGCCTCACTAAAATGGTTTGAGTAGCTATACATTGTGCATCTACATGAAGATCAAATATATTTTCCATGTTAATCATGTGCCTGTGATATATGCTGACTATTTCCACATTTCTCACTCTCCATATGCCGCTGCAACTGTTTTGTTGAATCAAGAGACCAGTTAGATTAAATGCCTATACTGTGTGCATAAATTTAGAAGCAGGGAAAGCTTACTTATACTGAATATCCCATTAATTCTCCTGCTTGCCTCCTGTTGTAAAAAAGCCATAAAAGAAGCATCGCTTAGAACAGTTGCTGCAGGCATCTCTGTGATGACCTGATTAAAGATTCCCATTATGTCTTTTGGGTGAGAGGGAAATCTCAGCAGGAGTGATTCAGCAATAGAAACTTAATTTCTAGAATACCTTTAAGACATGCTTACGTATATGTACGTGCACACACACACACACACACACACACACACACACACAGAGAGAGAGAGAGAGAGAGAGAGAGAGAGATGATAGTAAATATAACTTCAGTCACTATAATGAAATCAGAAGAGACATTTAAAGTTAACTGTTCCTAATCCGATGCCAGGAGATAGCAGGTTCATCAACGTATTTAGTTTGGTTCTTATTTTAAAAGAAAACTGATTATAAAGATAGAAACTCTTTGGACACAAAGAAAAATCTCAGTTATTTGCTGTAACTATTTAATTTATAACAGATTTACAGCAGAAAAATATTTACAAATCTTTATTTATTTGTATCGCACTTTTATTATTTTTACAAATAATTCAAACCTTCTTCCCCCCCATTTTTTCTATAACAACAATCTTGTGAGGGTTAGAGTTCAGAGACAGAGAGGGACTAACTGGCCCAAAATAACCCAGCTAGCTTTCATGTTAAGGTGGGACTTGATCTCACAATCTCCCACTTTCTAGCCTGGTGCCTTAACCAGTAGACCAAACTGGGTCTTACTTTTTTCATTTTTATTCATTTCCTTCTTTGTAGTTAACTCTTACCCAAAAGTTAAATAATCTTTTGTCATAACTCTACACAGTATAAAATATATCTGAGCTTCAGTCTATAGCAGGGGTGTCAAACTTCCGGCCCACAAGCCAGACACGTCACGTGGAAGCTGCGCCCACCCCATTGCCGGCAATGGCAAAACAGTCCTGATACATCACATGACGTCACGTGACGTTGCGAGTTTGACATGTCTGGTCTATAGTATTCTTCCTTGAAAGTCATGTTACACTTGCTTGTCCAAAGGCTAAATAGTTTATCAATCAAATAATCTAAATAATTTAAATAGATAGATAAGGGGCCAATTCAATGATTTTGCTGCTCTCTGAGTCATAAATAAATATATTTTAGGATATCCTAACAGATATGAATGATGACTGATTCATAGATCCATTTTATATTCATTTTTAAAAAGCTCTGTTAGATATTGGTAAAACAAATCACCAACTCTTAGAAAAATCTTGTAGGGGCAAATGAAGCATGAGTTTAATATTAAAAATTTGTAATATTTACATCACTGCTATATGTACTCCTAAAAAATTTGTTCAATTCCAAGATTGGAATTCAAAACTGGATTCTTTGACACTCAATTTACTTTGGAGCAGACATACTAGAGTTGTAGGTAAAGTTAAAGCTAAAGTTCAGATTAGTGCTGTCAAATACATTGAATATCTATTTTTAACGATGCCCACAATTATGGGGAAAAACCCTTCTTTCTTTTGTATTTGTGTATGTGTGCCTTTCGGTCATTGTTGCCTTTTAGTGACTGCCTGGATAGTCCTTGAGGTATTCTTGGGAAGATTTTTGAAGTGGTTTGCCATTAGAAAGTTTCCTTCTAATAGTCACTTGTACAAAGTGATTGGAAAAACTTTAAGATCGCTTCTCACCATTATTTTAAAATTCTAGCAGAAATCTTGCTCATATTTAATTCCTCTGCCCTTTTGAAATATTTTGTCCTTCTCTAGGAACTCTAGCAATTAAGCTGTTGTGCAAAAATTACTAATAAAACAGATGAAAAGGAAATGGATCCATACTTTAGAGCTGAGATCCATATCTTTACCTGTCAGCTTCTCCAGTGTCTCTTTGATTAGGGAATGATGGATCATGGAAAACAAATGGTTTTAAAATCAGAAAGAAATTTGAGAATAGCAAAGCTTTGTCTATTATTTAAACAGTCCAAGATAGCTTGGACTCCTTATATCTATTTCCCTTTTGCCCAAATAACAGATTAAATTGTGAGGTGTTCGGTTTTTTGCTTTTGTTTCTTACCACAGAATAAGAAGCACATATTCTGTGCTCAAGACAAATTGTGAAATAGCCAGTATAAAAACTGAAGTTTCCAATGGTTACTAACCTAAATGTGGGCAATTTGTGATACATTTATTATTGTAACTATCAGATATAAACTGGGGTTTATAAAATTGTTTGAGAACATCAAGTTTCTTTTTTTTTTAAAAAAAAATCTAATTTATGGTACTTGCATTAAGGACTTTTTTTTTTAGAGAAAAAGGGCAACATCTTTGAAATAAATCACTAAATAAGGTAACAAAATGTAGTTTTTTCCATAAACCTTTTAAATATCTTTCCCATATAAATTTGATTGAGATACATTTTCTCCAAAAATAAATTGTTAGAAAAAAATATGTTAGGCAAAAAATTGTTTTGAATATTTTGATTTTGAAGTTTTAACAAAATCATGAATATATGAAATAATTAAAATGCAATAATATTAATTATTTCTACATATTTTTATACACAGTTCAACATGAATAGCACTCTTTTGGCTCTTACTGGCACACCTCATGAAGATGTCTATGACTAGGTAAGTGTTTTCCTGAAGTTAAAAAAAGAGAAAGAAATCTAGTCTTTCTAACTCATTTTAGCGAAGGATTATGAACAAAACCACAAATAAAGCACCCTATGGGGAGAGAGAATCCACTAAGCGAAAAAGTATCTATTTCCCTTCCCACAGAACATATAAAATGGTGGTGGTGACTGATAGAATTTTGTAATTATGGAGGAAAATCTATAATTTTTGTCATTAAATCAAAAATAAATGTTTCTAGGAGAGAAACATTCTGTCCTAGAAGAATGTTTTTTCTACTGCATCCTTTATTCTGCAGATAATTGGACTTATTTTATCATATGGATATTAGCTACATATTTCTTTGATACAATATAGAGAATCAAGATACCATTAACCCCTCTTCCTTCCTAGAAATTTATGGTATTTTCTAGCATCATCTAGCAGTTTAAGGTCTGTCCTCATTAGTGTTTTATTGGCACAATAGTTGAACAAATCTAGAAGATGCTAAAAATCACTAGCAAGGAAATGGCTTTAAATTAATCAACAACTGTAAATTGTATAGAAATGGGATGGAACTGTCAGGTACCATATCAAATATTGTTTGTCTACAAGAAAGCCATCTCTCAAATGTTATTGAATGCCAACTATGACTACATTGCCTATCAAGACCACCAGCACATATTGCCTGTAAAATGCTTTAAAATGTTGCAGTAGAATATCTAACGATGTTACATTTCGTTAGAACATCTATCCAATCAAACCAAAAAATCATTTAACCTCGAAGCTTGTCTGCATTAATGGCTTCCAGGTGTTCCAGGAAATGAAAAAGCAGGGAAGAAAGATAAATGCTTTCTCTCTGTGTTTGCCTTTAATCTGTATTCAAAAGCATATGCTTCTGAAGATTGAGTCTCCTTCTACACATCAAGACTAATCACTATTGATAATTTTTTTTTATGAATGTGCCTAACCCATTTTAAAGCTATGTTTTCTGGAAAATAAATTCCATTCAGTTTAGTGAAGCACGTTCCCATGGAAGTGAAAAGGACTGTAGCTGAAGTAAATATGTTTATTACATTCCATCTGTCAGACTCAGATATACCAACCATGATGTGAAGTTTCAAATGCTGCAGTGAAAGCTGATATTAATGTAAAATATAGATATGGAATGTACATGATATCTTCTCATGCAGAAGATATTTGGATATTATTTTACTTCAAAACTTGTAGGTAAGAAATTTGGAGGAGTATTTGGAAATAAATATATTTCAGGTTTTACCTTCTTTCTTGCAGTTTCCTACCATGATAATCTCAAGCTCCATATTATCTGTAGAATGGGAAGGAAGGAAGGATGTCTTCAGTTGAGCTGTGACCAGATTACAATGTGCCTTCATTAATGTGCTAATTGCTAAATATCTAGCAATGTCCTATCCAAAAATTTAAGAATATTGTATATATTGGATTGAACCAAATAGGGGTAAAGTAAATATGTATTTTAGATTAAATGCAATAAAGTTACTAGTAAGGAAGAGGAATAACTCAATGTTCTAGTAATTCCCATTAGTTTTAATTGCCCATTCTTCATTCTATAATGTTATTGTATATCTTAAAAAGGGTTATGCATCATTCTATAATGTTATTGTATATCTTAAAAAGGGTTATGCACTGTAGGAATCTTTAGTAATATGTTAATGAAGGCATGTGCCTGGGTGCACATGTATCATGATATATAATGCATGGTCAAGAAGAGTGTTTTGAATAAAATGTTTTACTCTGTCCCATAGAAGAGCATTTCTCTATTTCTTCGTGCTACGAACTCTTCGTTTTTCATTAAGTTTAAAACTAATACATTCATACTTTCTCCAAGAATACTGCAGTTGTGGCATGCTTTTGTTTTTAGCTTTCATACATTAGACTTCTTCAGGAACTTTTAAAGTAACAAAACAGAAACAACTTCAAATATTAAATCTCTAAAATATTATTACAAATTTATTTTGCCTTTATAAGAAAAACACATGTATTAACATTCTACTGTTTGAATTCCTAAATAATGAAAAATATTTCCTAGCAGTCACTGTTTTCATTCTTTTTACATTCACTTGTTTTGAGGAATTTTCTTCTCCTTGGGAATTCTCCACTGAAAATACATTTAGATTGTCTCAAAGCATTTTAAACATGGGATGACATTACTTTGCAGATTACCATTAACTCTATTTAGGCTTTCTTAAGGCCTGTGAGTTCTCCCAATAAAGAAGGAGAACTCAGTAGAAATATGTTAATTCCTTTCACTTCTATCATACAGTCTATTCCTGCAACTTCTCTGTATGACTTAAAGTTTTGATTTCCAGGATTTTGTGTGCAAAGAGTTTCCACAAATAGATGAAGGACTCTTCTGCAGATATTTATCCTCTAATGGGGAGGGCAAAATGTTAGCATGAAGTTCCATATTTCTCTTCACATATAGGATGCATATTCATTAAGATTGTCGCAGAAGCAAGGAAAAGATATTTTGCTGGATTGGATATAATATGTTGTTTCTGATCACTCTTTGCATTTTAATTTAGCTAATATATGGTTAGAAGATTACCAAAGCTGAAAGTCAAGCATTTGTAACAGGAGTCAGTAAACAATTCAAAGTTCATTCATTGAACAAAGACAGACACTGGATCTAAAAGCATAGTCTAAGCTCAATCCTTGGGTCAAAAGCCAAGGTATCAGTAAGAAAAGAAGGTAAACAGCAATTCCTTAGGCAGAATCTAAAATTAATTAAAGAGTCAGGAGTGGAGAACCAGCAGCAAAATGATTAGCAATTAGGAAGCAGACATCATTTCTGAGATTGACAAAACAGAACATCCAGAGCAAAATCCATGTTCCAGTGGCAATATACTAAAATTGTTAACAGAAAACATTCACATGTATACAACCTTACATTTTGCCATGGCTTACTACCACAGAGGTCTGGTACTCTAATATACACAGCCTTGCTAGCCTTGGACGCTCTCATTCTGCATGGTGGTTTGGCCTCTATATCAAACTCAGGCCTAGAGCAGTCAGTCTTGTAAATCACATGACTCGCCAAAGTCCACTTCAGCTTCCAGTAAAAACTTAATTTCTGAAGGTTCCATTGGGTTGCCTAATTGATTTTGTCCTCTGATAAGTCCCCTAGGAAGGGACTTCCTGACTTGCAAGTAATTTGGATGAAATCATAAATCATGCTTTGCCTCACATTGTGGAGAATTGCTTATTTAGTCTTTATTCACATGATTTCAACTATAATACTTGTATTCTTTCTGGTCACTGAGAAGGATTTGTTTGAAATACAAAGTCTGGGTGCTGAATGAATGTAGATTGAATACCAAAGTGAGTGACTAGTATCAAATAAAAACTGAGATGATTTGGTTACACAAAGAGAATGAATAGGATCAAATAACAATGGTTTTGAGAGAAAGGAAAAGTCCAAGAAAGCCATGTTGGAAAGAGTTGGCAATAACCCTCAAAATGAAAGAGGTTAGAACTTGAAAGATCAAAAGGCAATAATCATATGCAATGTCTATGGGTTGTAAAAGCAGAGACAAATTTCAAGAACAAAAAGTTTGAAAACCTATAGACAATGATGTTGCAATATGAACTATGGAAGCAGACCCCTAAGAGTTCCAAAATTAAGATCTTTTTTGGTCAACAAAATGTTTTAAATGAAGTGGTTACTGAAACACCACAAAATATGTGCTTTTTATTTAATATTATTAACTATTGACTTTTATGTTGTTGGATTTTCTCAAAAGAAAATTAGAGAAGCATCTCCAAATAATGCATTTCAGTTATGTTTATGACCCTTTTGCACTGCTGGGATAATCAGAACATTCAACAGGAATAAATAATAAGATCACCCAGATGAGTTTTGTTTTGTTTTCTGCTTGGTTTAGCATTGAAGAGGCAGCAATAGAAACAAGTATTTCTTTATTGAAGTCAAAACAGAAACTAACAAGCATTGCTCCGCCCCTATTTATACATTCAGCTCTGGGTGGCGTCAGCCAATGAGAGTACAGAATTCTCCTGCTCAAATGCATAATAATCAGCCTTATAGACAGCAAGTCAGGCTAGCAGGCCACGTGATCTGCTAACCGTTGCTGCACAGATTCCAGCTACCTGCTTCATGGTAACCTCCAATGCAGCTGGTCAATGTGCCTGCGGAGCACACGACCATCTTCCAGGGCCCCTTCATATGAGAGCAGCCCGGATACATTGCAAACCACAGCTACCACCCACAATGCCCCTGGTCCATAGTTGTGCACCCAAACCAGATCACCCACTTCTAAGTGCCTTGGTGCCTTAGGCTGTGGCACTTGTGAAGCACCCCTGTCTGGATGTAGGCAATTGTGATCAGACAGTGCCCCCATCTTAATTCAGCTGGGCTCTTGCCCGTAGAAGTGCAGGGCAATGTGTGTTGGCAGAGTAGGAAATCTGCCAACCTGTGGTGCCAATTGCCATGGGTGATCCTCTTCAAGGATTCCTTGGTCATTTTGACCACGCGTTCTGCTTGGCTGTTAGAGGCTGGGTGAAATGGAGCCAAAGTGGCATGCCTAATCATATTCGCCCTTAAGAAGGACTGAAACTCTGCAGAAGTAAATTGAGCCCCATTGTCTGAGACTATGACATCTGGGAGCCCATGCGTTGCAAAGATGCCCTGCAGAACCTGGATGGTCCTGGCAGTAGTCATAGTGAACACTGGAACGACCTCTAGCCATTTGAAGTGACTGTCCACAACAATGAAGAAGATTTGCCCCTGAAAGTGACCAGCAAAATCAATATGGATCCTTGACCAAGGGGTTTGTGTGGTCTCCCATCTATGCACAGGAGCATGTGGCATTTCTGGCCTTGACTGCTGGTAAATGAGGTACCTGTGGACCTGGGCCTCGATGTCTTTATCGAGCCCAGGCCACCAGAGGTAGCTATGTGTGAGCGCCTTCATCCAGACAATGCCCAGATTTCCCTCATGCAGAGAATCAAGGACTCGTCCTCAGTAAGGTTGGGATTACTACCCTACTGCCCCACAAAGTACAACCCTTAAAGGTGGATAACTCATGCTTCCTTTTCCAGAAACTCTGAAAGTCAGGGCCAGGACACGTTTCCAGCCATCCTGTGAACACCCAGTTTAACATGCGGCTCAACGTGTTCTCTGAAGCTGTTTCAGCAGCTACATCCCTTGCGTTAAGGGGAGACTCCAGCAAATCCTGGATAGACAGGATGTGGTTGGCTGGAGCAGGATCTGATTCCAATAGCTGTAGAGGCAACCTACTAAGGCCATCTGCGTGGCCCATTTCTTTACCTGGTTTGTGAACCAGACAATAATCATAAGCAGATAAGAATATTGACCATCTCTCTGGATGAGCGATGTCGAATTTGGAGAGTTTTCCGATCTTCGCCATGGTGAGTCAATGCCTCGTGCTGCGCAGGTTTCCATGGAACTTCCAGGGCAAAACCTTGGAACCCGTCTCCTCCAGCGCTTTTGTACTGGCAGGATAGAGTAAGGGGATGGTGGAACACCATTCCAACCAAGCGTTTGCTAGGCTTGACCCCGTACTGACTCAGCTTTTCGAATTGCGGCAGCACAATCCCACCTTCGTCACCAATGTTCTGTTTTCTGCTGGGTTCAGCATTGAAGAGGCAGCAATAGAAACAAGTACTTCTTTACTGAAGTCAAAACAGAAACTAACAAGCATTGCTTTGCCCCAATTTATACATTCAGCTCTGGGCGGCATCAGCAAATGAGAGTACAGCATTCTCCCACTCAAATGCATAATAATCAGCCTTGTAGACAGCAAGTCTGGCTAGCAGGCCACGTGATCTGCTAACCGTTGCTGCACAGATTCCAGCCACCTGCTTCATAAATTTAACTCAATACATTGCAGGTTTATCTAAAACATTTCAACATTATGGTGTAATTTACACTACGTTTGCCTTTGTCTTGTTTGCAGTGTTAAGTGAATCCCTCACAGTCATTAAATGCAAAATCACATGACTGCAACTTATGATTTCCTACCAGTTTCCCCATTTACTTGCCAGAAACCAACTATGTAGTCACAAATAGCAAGCATATTACTACAGGCCATTATAAATTTGCACAAGTTTTCAAATGCCTGAATTGCAATCACATGACTGTGGGGACACTGTGATGCCCACAGCTTTAAGGACTGGTTGTTAATCTCATTTTTCAATGCTACTGTAGTTCCAAACAGTCTCTGAACAACGGGTCAGTAAGCAAGGTCTATCTATCTTTTCCAGAGTCTTCACTGCTACACTATCAAATCCTACTTATGGCATATTTCTTGATGGCTGGTTTCTTTACTGTTGATATTTGATCCTAAAAGAAAAATTATCCACTATTTCAGTATCTTCATTGTTACTTCTAATGCTGGTTGCTGTATCTGTTGTCACTAGTCCCATTTTTTCATAGACAATTGGCTAATGTACTATATAACACTTTCCTAAGTCTTCAAGTCTTCATCAAGGTCCAAAGTCATTGAGCTCTTTCTATTTTTTATTTTTTTTCAAAGGCAGGGGTTATAAATAGCACAATTGGTGGAGATGGATAGATGAAATTGTGATCAAATCACAATTCAGACAGTTGCCTGTCTGCTAAAGATATCCTTCAGAACGTCACAATTCATCTTTCCTTCAACAAATGTCTGACTAGAAGTACATATTGCTCTTCTAATAATAATTATTATTAATATTGTTGTAATATAGATAGGAGGCTCAAAAGCCAAAGCAATTGTACAATAC